ATTTTCTACAAAGTGTAGAAAGAAAAATGAGGTAGATATATTGCCTTAGCTACTACAGTTCCCAGATCTAAACTTGATTGAGAATATCTGGGGAGATATGGAGACTTACATGGGAAAAAGGTATGGAAGAGTTGCAAGTAGAGAAGAGCTAATCAGAGCTGTGGGGGAAGCTTGGGAAGCTGTTCCTAATGGAAGGTTTATGCGTATTTGCAGGAGTATGCCAAAAAGGATCAGAGAAGTTAACAGAAGAAAAGGACACCAAACTCATTATTGATTTAGGGTTTTATTTTTATTTTACTTCAAGGGAATACTGAGGACTATTTTATTTTATCTCCTTTACTTATTTTATTTATTAAATGTTGTTGTGGAATGAGGTAGTACTATACGTTGTCAAAAATGTTGATGTACTGAGATTTGTGTTGTACAGAACAAGTGTTGCATTACTTTTTTCCACCCCCTGTACTGTAATCGGTGGATGCCGCATACCCCACTACCCCACTCTAGATAAATTCACCCACCCTATCACAGCCGGGCACTCATGCAAGAGATAATTTTCAAATTCGTGCAGCTACCATAGATCTGGTTACTCGCCAATTGCGAGGGCTACTCGTACTTGTACCGTACTGTACTGTACTCGGGGGTAGGGGTATTTGGGGTCCCGTTATACAAGCCTACGTCTCTCTTACATCCCCGTACGAATACAAACAGCTGAAATCATGCCGCAAAAAGGAACTTGTGAGCAAAATCTACAAGGAGTTTAAAGATACTCAATCAAGATTTGAGCGTCTCGAGGTTATCCCCCTCCACGAAGATGCTCGAATACCCTTCTGGTCGACAATACTTTGAGTGGAAAGCGGGGATTGCAGACTTTCGCGACACGCGTTGGCATAACACGCGACGCCGGAACACAACAGCTTAGCTGAGATGGGGTACCGGTACCGGTATGTCTGGGAATGGGCGTAGAAGCCGTTATTGATGTCGAAGGGGGGAACAACTAGATTTCTGTAATTTAGCTTGTATCATATGTCGGCCGTTTATATGGTGCGCCCCAGCACAATCGATTGTCTTCTCATTAGGTATTGGGTTTTTTAAACTAATAACGAAATGAGCACGGTGGAAAAATGTATATATAAATTTATGTATAAAAACTAAAACCTGAAATCCGTCATCCCTTCGACTGCGGGAAGCATCACCAAAAATTACAGCCCTAGCTGCTAGTCGCCTTCATGTCACGTGGTTCCTGAAGCAACACCGGTGGTGTGTGTTGTGTGAGTTGTGTGATTGGTATAGTATCGGGATGGTGGAAGCAAATGGGCGAAGACCGACTCCTATCCAAGGAGGAGCAACCGAGAGCTCTGTCTGTTACTATAAAACCCCCCTCACTGCACTCATTGTTTCAGCTTTCTCTTTTTTTCCTCTCTTGAACATTCACCAAAGCGAAACCCCCACCCATCATAGCTCCGAGTGATTGCCCGTGCGACCAGTTTCTTTCTCAAAATCGGCACGAGCGGGGGGTGTCCCCAGCGCCTAATTAGCTACAGATTGCTATCGCACCATGTACGAGCTTCTAGGGTGTATATACAGTGATCGTTTCAAACTTTCCTTTGATGGAATTCTCGTGGGAGACAAAAAAAAAACTAAAACTTCTTAGAATAGGGTAGCTGGAATGTCGTAGTGAAGTGGGTATCATAGATTGCGCTTTAAGGTAAGGTATACCCGGACTTCCAGGAAAGCAATTGATCGCGTAGTCGAGATCTCGGTGTATACTTCTGTAGCAAGATCGAATGAATGGCAGCCCCGAACCGCCGCTGGGCTGAAAAGGTAGATATCACTCGGGAGTGAAGATCGAAAAGGTTCCGAGATCGACCTCTCTCCGGAATGTATCAGAATTTTGGGGGGGATAATATGCACTGGGGTAAGTTCTTGTGACGCTCCTTCATTTTTTTTCTCATTAATTTTGAGCATTGGTTTTTCCTGTAAGGTTTCAAGGAAAATGACATGGTAGAAGGGAATAGGATGATAATATTATTGGGCTGCAATGGGGTATAGAGCATACCTGGGCGGAAACCTCTGTTCTCGTTCCTATCATACGTGCCGACCTCAATGGCGCCCTCCTGGTCAATGGTAAGAGCAACAGTCACGGAGCTCAAATTCAATGGCAAGCCTAATTGGAAAATATTATACCCTGAACGAAGCACAATGGGAATTTACCTCCACCGCACCGCCGAGCGTTGTAAGGTCAATGACCGAATTCACCCTTCTAGTACGCGCTCTGCTCACCATTCGCAGTCCCAAAATTCAAGGGCCCCATTGTGTTCGCCCACACTACCAAATTACCCACAGTATAAAAAGTCATAACCCATCCTCTACCCCTCTCCCTTCCCTTCAATCTCCACACACATCCTCAGCTTTCTCCAAGCATCTATCCCCCCAACCAGAAAAAAACATCAACACTTTCGACTCTTCACCTAAATTCTTCAATACCAACTACCTACTATGAACACTAATACTCCCAACACCAGCGTCGCCAGTGACAGCGCCGAAGCCCCTGTTGCCCGCTGGGGGGTGACAACCGCCTGGCTGAGCCAAATCACCAAAAGCATTACCGGGACCATGGAAGCCCTCCAAACTGGTTTTGGCACAATTGCAGGTCACCTCAATGTCCTCTCCAGCGCCACTTCCGGACCCAGTGGGCCGAATATGGGGGAGGAGAATGGAAACATTACTGTCGCCGGTTTTACTCCAGCGACGCTTATTGACGCTCCCTCTATCACCCCCCCTACCACTCCCTCTATCATTCCGCCTATCACCCCGCCCATCCCTCCTATCACTCCGCCCATCTCTCCTATCACTCCCCCTATGACTCCGACTCTAACCCCAACAGTAGCCCACAGCGCATCCCCGGAACACATGAGCATTGCGACAAGCTCCGTGCCCTCGCAAATCGTACTCAGCGAAGGCGCTACCACTGGTAAAGCTGTGAAGACCCCGCGCACAAGAACTCCCCGCCAGGCCCCGCAAGGTCCACCGCGCCGAAGCCTGCGTATTATCGCGTCAGCCCAAAAGTCCAGGAAGGGGGTGTCCGTTACTGGCTCCATTGCGCAGGAGGGTGGGGGGACCGTCGTGGATACTCCGGTTCCAAAGAAGGAGACTGTTGCAGGAGGTCTCGGAGGTCAGATTGAGATGGAGCCCGTCATCAAAGTCAAGTCCCCGATCCTAAAGCCCAGGGCTGGTACGGGCATTACCAAGAAGAAGGTCACCGCGGAGTATCTCAAGGGTCTCCTTGTGGCGAACATCAAGGCTCTGGTTGAGATGAAAGGGGAGAGGGGGCTAAAGGAAAATCAAGGTATCACCGCCACAACACCTACTGTGATCCTGACTGAGACCCAGATTCCCGCTTCACCAGGAGTTCATCCCCTATCTACAAAATCCCCGAACACCGCAATGGGCTCCACTCCCTCGCCCGATAAAGCCAAGAAAGCCCCACGCACAAAGACACCTCGCAGGAAAACGCAAGGCGCGCGCATTACCGAGTCGGCGCTGAAGGCGGCGCAGGACAAGCCCGCCGCGCAAGAGGGTGGGGCGAAGGTTGACGCGAAGCCCAAATCCCCAATTTTGAGGCCCAGGGCTGGATCGGGAGTTACAAAGAAGACTGGAGCGGGGGGTTCGAAGGGCCGGATTTCGGCGGAAGCTAAAACTAAGGCTAAGGAAGAGGAGAAGGTCAAGCACCCAGCTCTGATGATGCCCAGGGCTGAAGCAAGGCTCAGAAAGGGATGTATCAGAGGTCGTCCCAGCCTCGCAGCGAGGAGGCAGGCTCGTCGTAAGCTATTGGTTTAATAAGCAAAAAAAACAAAAAAAACATGAGATAACAGAACTCGATGGGATAGTTATGCATTTTAAAAGTTGTCGTTTGAATTCATACATAAAAAATAAATAAAAATAAAAAATAAAACATTGCATATAGAGTGTCTGCTAGTGTAATACAGTAGTCTACAGACCTAGATATTCTTATCGACTTGGGAATCACGTTGCGCTCGACGCATGGTTCACCGGGCATTACCGCACAGTATAGCGAATCCAAAGGTGCAAGCTGAAGGCCGTCACAGGGCACGCCCACGAGGTCCGAAACACGAGTGTAGCGCCCCAGCAAGCGATACCCATCATTGGTGTAATAATATTCAAAGGATTATCGTACATCCCGCGTTCAAATCGGGGTCACCATTTCACTCCAGTAACGCAGCGTACTCGAGTGAGATCCTGTGAATTCTCATTTTTTCCGAAGTTGGGTTGCCACGGCAGTAAATTTATCAAAGCGCCATCATGCTTTCCTCCAAGAATAAGCTTGCAAAGGAATCCACCCCCCCACATCCCCCACGATACCATGAGAGCAATGGTTCACCCAAAGTTGAGACCCAAATGCGAGGGAGGGAAGAACACCAAAAAAAGGAACCCCTCACCCGGAGAGCTTCTCGCCCGCCCGGCTCATTTATATACGTATCGGAACAACTCCAACCCAAATTTTTAGAGAGGACCGTTTCTATAAGGTTTAGCTTACCTGCACTTCTGCCCAGAATGCAAAATATCAACCCGACATAACTTCCCTTCTCTCTCTACTCGGGCCCGATCCCACCGACCAGGCAGATGGGCACATCTTTCCAGTGGGGCGGCTTAGCTCTCCGCCGAGGCCGGGGAATCCAATTGATAGAAAGAAATGAGGGCGGTTTAATACCGATGGGAGGTGGTATTCGGGAAAATGGAGTTTGATTGAGGGGGTGAGGTGATGGTTGGAGGGTGGCTTGACGCACCGTCGTTTCTTATAAAAATTAATTGCGCTGTAGCTGGAAGGGTAGTTTATATAATAGCTATGATTACATGTCGGGTAGTATGATAGCTTTATTAGCTCGGTGTTCTGTTATATCCGCACCCTTACATGTACTCCAGAAAACGCGATTGAGAAGTGGATAGCCAAGAAGAGATACCGGATTGTGAGTGAGAACGAGTTGGTCCAATCGATAGAGTAACATAAATTTGATATACTCTAAAGTATCAGAGAGCATTGCTAAGCATATCTAAGCGATACAAGGCATGAATACGACACTACCGATGATAACTCCATCCATTCACCCGTAAGAAAATAGCATAAACAATTAACACCGCTAATAACACGCCCTCACTCACCGATTCTGAGGGGGAAAAAAGGTACAAACAACTTTTGTCAACCCCCTCCCCCTATCTATCAAGTAAACATAGCTTGCAATTCCCCCTCACCCAGATGTTGCTCAATCCCCACAACCAGCAAATGCGCCGCGGTCTCAACACCCTCATCCTCATCCTCCATAAGCTCTGCAATTATCGGCATACTCTCTGGCAAAAAGCTCAACCACTCCTCCCCAGCCTGTGCGTAAATATCCCTCAATGCTTCAGCAGCCGCAATCCTGACCATTGCATCCTCGGCTTTCATCTGCTCCAGCACCTTTCCGTTGATCGCCCTCGCGTGCTCTTCAGAGCCCTGTATCGCACCGACTAGTTCTGTCAGGGCGGGGTATACGTATTCGTGTACAGCGGGGGCGGAGGTGGCGGCACGGGCTAGTTGGGCGGTGAGAACAGGAGCGATCTTGCCAAAGGTTGTGGGCGATTGCCAGAAGTCGTGGTCGTCTGATTTGAAGGCCACACGCAGGGCTTTCAGAGTGGATTTCCAGAGGAGAGGGTGAGTGGCGAAGATGGTGTCATTGGTGAGGATATCGACGGCGTTATCAAGGGCGAGACCGAAGTAGCTGGTGAAGATTGACTGCGGTTGCGATTAGTTATCAGGGCGGTATGACATTTTTGTTTTTCTGAGGCGTGGTGGATGTATAGCCTACCTCTAAATCGCTACCGAGTAGGTATAAGAAGTTCCAAAGTGCAATGCATCGGTTGATGCTAGTTTCCGAGCCCTTGCTGAGGTCCTCTACAGCCCACTCGATAATTCGGAGGAACATGGGTTTGAAGTTTCCGTGGTTGAGTCGGTATACGAACTTGAGGATGACTTTGAGGGCCTGGTCCTCTAGCTCTTGGATTCTCTCTTCTTCGATATCCACGGTCTCACTAAGATCGAGGAATCTTCTACGAAGATCGAGGAGCAGTAGCATTAGGTCGAGAAGAGGCTTCAAGCTATCTGTTGTCCGGAATAGCCTCTTCGTAGCCTTTGAGCGCTTCTCATCCCCTTTAGATGAGCTCTCCATCTCTTCGAGAGTTATCAGCGCCTCTTCAATTGCCTATATAAAAAGGGTTAGTAAAATATTCTACCATAACAAATAAAAAAATACGCATACCACATCACCCCCCTCAATAGCCTGATCCCACGTCGCAGTATAAACACGAAGTATAGAATCTAATTGCATTTTTTGACCAATAGTCTTCAAAAAACCAACTCTTACACCCACTTCGTCCTCCTCCTCTATGTCAGCTGCAGAAAAATACATCAACTTCATGATCTTCTCCAGCCAGCTCGTCATAAAGCCAGGAAGGTTCTTGACCAACTCCTCCAAGAACGCAATTGCATAGTTATGAAAGACCTCGTGCTGACTGCGAAAACCCTTCTCCAAAAGTTCCAAACTACGGGGGACCGCCTTTGGTAGAATTGGGATAAGGTGCACCTTGAACTTGGCTGCTAGGTTGGTGAGGCACACCAAGGATACAGCCTGTGTTGAGTCATCAGAGCTGTGCAGTCCTCCGTGACCAACAACCGCATCGGCAATGTTTGCGACGACGGTGGGCATTTCGGATCGGCAATGTTTGATGATACTAGTGATGCATACGATAGCCTCTGTGCTCAGTTTGTCAGGATCGTGAGCAGAAATCAGAGTACTTATTTTAGGCACGAAGCTAACAATAGCCTTCGTAGAGGCGCTATCGATTCTGTGCATATTCGTAAGGCGATCTCTGAACATCTTCAAAGCATCGCCGCGGAAATCGGATTCGGGGTTGAAGATAAGATGTTCAACGATGGAGATAAATCGGGGAATGTGTAGGCCGTAAAGCAGACAGCTAAGAACACGGGAGGCAGGCTCGTACACATAGCTTCCAGAACCCCACTCTAACAGGCCAAGGACCCTCTCTAACGCCTCGGAGAACTTCTTTCTGCGCATGTCATCGCTGTCATCCACCTTGGCAATGTAATCCTGGAGCTTCTTGTTTCCGATAACAATGAAGAGTAAGTTAAGCAATCTCTCTGCAAGTTGGAATTTATCACTCTTGTCGATTTCGAATAGGTGTTTCGGCAACCCATGCTTCCTATACCTAAGAACCTCCGTAACTAGATCCAAGTAACGATTGACAGTCTCAAGCTGAACATCAATGTCAAAGCTCTCCACAATCATCTTGCATGCAGAAGTAACAACGGCTTCCTCCCCAGTCGGATGCTCAGCATTAGTAGATAGGTACTTTTCACCTAGCTTTGCGATAACAGCAAAGAGAAACTCCTCCGCACCCAATGTTTTTGTCAATGCAACAAACAGGCGCACTCTGCGGTGTGAGGGAATATGGGAGTAGCTTGCCGCAAAGGTTTTTACCAACTCCGCTATCCCAACGACTTTGTTGCCTTCTTGTGATTGAAGAGACTGTACTAGTGGTGGTATGATTCGTTTTATGGTTTGCTCGATAACAAATGCCGAGTACTCGTCATCTCTTCGGAGGGTATTCGCCCCCATAAAGGTAAAGATTGGCATGACGCTGTGCTGTACCCGCTCTGGAACCACATCTGCCAGGTTTGCTAACAGGAGGATCGCTCTATTCTGAACTTGGGGGGCCGCTGCTGCGCGGATACATTCAACAAGGACATCTGGTCTCACGCTATCGTCGATGTCAGAATCACCGGAACGCTAGGGAAAAAGGTATTAGCTTCAAAAGGCAATATCGTACGTTTAAAGGCAGTATTGTTGAAAGAATTAATTGTAAATAATACCTGAATATTTGTCACAATAGAGCTCATGCAGTCAAGCAAAACCTGATTCAAATATGCCATCCCCGAAAAGTGAGAACCCGCCAGATCCGCCAGAATACCGAAGAGAGACTTTAAGAGACTGCCATGCCTCTCAGCACCCTGTGCATACAAGAGATCTGTCACAACTGTAGCCCTTCTACGTGCGGCTTCCTGCTCTTCAGTCTTTGCCTCGTTGCTCGTTCCGTCGGACCCTCTTCTTCTCTTCTTACCGGGCTCAACGGAGATGTGGGATGAAAACACCTGGAGTTGGGTCCGGGCTTTGTCGAAGAATTTTTGAAAGGCTGCCGTAGGAATCCTCAACCTTTCCAGAACATCGACGCCTGATAAATCCTGTGCCACATCCAGCTCGATCTCAAGCAACCCCGTAGCAATCTCGATTTGGACATCCAATTCAATCGCACTCCATATGTCCCCGATGCGATCGGCTGCAGCCTCAAGGAGAGAGCAACTGACATCCTTCGTCAGGATATCGATTAGGATCCTGGGTTCGTCGGCGTTCACCACTTGAACCATTTGTTTCTCAATAGCCACCATATCTAAGCGTTCTGTCTGACATTGCTTGACCCGCTCGTTGTAGTCCTCAACAGACAGCCAGTCGGTTAGTGCAGGAAGCAAGTTTCGGGTTCGGATATCCCCAGCAAGGTTAATTTTGTTAATTTGTGAAAGGAGCCGGTACCGAATCTCCAGCTTCGGAGCGTTGACCGCATGGCTGCTGAGAAACACAAAAATGCTTCTCTTGAGCGAGCCCTTGAGGCTAGAACCAATGCCTTCACCAGTGCCCACAGCTATTGCCAACACATTTCCAATATATTCTGGGTCTTCAATGCACCCAAAAAGATCATTAGCGGTAATGTGCTCCATCAACTTGATGACTTGATCCAACTCTAGCCATCTTACTTCATCGCTGTCCCTCCCCTCGCCATAGATAGCGCCAAGACCCCAGTACGGCACGGCTCGAGAGGAACGCTTCCTCTTTTTCTTTGACGACCTATCTCCCAACACGGGTTGCTGCAATCCTTTGTAATACTCGAGAAGCACCTTAGTTAAGTCAACAGCATGGCTGCGAACCCTTCGGTTTGGATCCGCAAGTGCAATCAAGATGTGCGGAAGGACCGCTTGGTAGTCGATGCTTACAGTCTTAGAAGCCTGTTTCTGTATGATCTTTGCACATACCGCCAATGCGGAGGACCGCATAGATACGGGATACTTGTAAGAAGCCCAGCATTCAATTAGAAACGAGATCTGGAGGGGGTTATCGGGCGGCAATCCCTTGAATAATCGTAGTTTGATGAATTCCTCTTGCCTCCCGGATAAGACTGCCGTGGCGAAGAAACGAAGGAGGTCCTGAAGGAGCATCTTGGCCTCGGGTGCTAGGATTGATTTCTCACCGGTACTGTTCGGTATAGTAAGAAGAATATCTTCAAGTGTTTGAGCCTGGACAGATGTTTCTTTGATCGCCTTCTTTGCCGGTCCCGGGACAGCAGCAGCAGGAAGCGGACGAATCACAGTTTGCAATCGCATTTCGAGATCATCGACATCAATCACATCAGCCATAGCTTGGGTGAGACTCTTTCCAATCTTTCCTTCATGTGCCGGACCAGCCCAATTCACCAAAGTCTCAGCTAGTAATTCTCTGATCTCATCGGTATTTCCTCCACTCATCGCTGCGCTGCCCACTTTCTGAGCAACCTCGACAAGCTTCTTGGTCACTAATAACCGCTGGTGTGATTCCATCTTTGCTCGCTCCAAGAGCGATATAATGATCCTAAGTCCCTTAGCGTTGTACATTTCTCCTAATTTTTTAAGGACACCCAAACAGAGCGCAACCACTAGCCTATCCACTCTGTACCTCACTTGCATGGATAGGAGCGCCTCATCCAATCCCCTATTCCCAAGCTCTGGCTTATCGAGTTTCAGCAGGGCACTAATAACCTCATCCGGTAACTCTACGTCATCCCTAAACCGCGATTGTGCTATATAAGCCATACAGGTCAACCCGGTCTTATACGATCCAACAGTCCAATGATTTACAATTGACTTTATGATCGCCGTCAGGACAGTGTCCGTCAAACTCAATTTCGTAACAAGAACGATAGTGAGCATGTGGCAACCTGTCTCTAGCTCGGGGGAAGATCTGGCCGAAAATGCCTGATCTAGAAGGGGGAGTGTACAAGTGAGAATATTCTCTGCAGTTGGCACATTCTTCGCCCTGCCGGATTTGTTGGATGAAAGTGAATCGCACATCAACGAAACCGACGCTGTAATCGCCACTGAGAAAAACGACACCAATTGGTGGCTATCCCGTTTTGTAGAGACCGCGTTGGTCGTGTGGTCGCATAGGAGTGTGAACAAGTCCCTATGGTGGGAAAGTGCGTGGGTGATAACATGCTTTGGCACCGGCGACGGCCTCTTGAGATAGGGTGTAAGGAAAATAAATTCTCTAGGGAGATCCTTCTGACGGAGAATAGAGAGCATAGTCTTGAATAAATTTGGGTGGTCATGGTACGGCAAGAAGCACAAGATTAGCGATACAGTATTCTGGTCTTGTACTCTGAATTCTATTTGTCAGCATAACTGCCATAGACAAAGAAACTGCAAGGGGAGTGAAAAGCTACCTAAACTGCCTAACCAGCCACTCCAGAGCCCTCAGTGCGGGTTGCAATAGCATTCGCCCACAAAGTAACTGTAGGAAACCATCGATGCTCCTGCTAAGAGATTCCGCTGATGTTTGCGACAAAACAAATCTATCAACATTCTTTGAATGCTCGCTAAACAGACCCTTCTCATAGAGCATAAATCTCCTATCCAGTTGACATAATTCTCGGAACCCTTCGATTGCAATGGAGAAAATGGTATCTGTGTCTTGCGCAGCAGCGACAGATGGCGGGAAAAGCAGGGAAACGGAATGAATCGACTTAAGCTTTTGGGTATTGAGTGTATTCGTTGAAGTCGCCGCAATTGCCGACAACTGGGCTGCCAAATTAGAAGCCATAGCTGTGGTAACAGAAAGTGCTGAGTGCGGTAAGAAAGTGGAATCGTGGGACGAGAGGTAAATTTTTTTTCTTTTCTACTTTCCTGTAGATTTGCCAAGATTTAATCTCTTGAGGCTCAAATATGCCAAACAATCCCTGCAGGATGGTCTAGGTTACCCGGTTCAAACCGAAAACCCACAAGGTCGATCATTTCACTCTAGACCCTGTCAGACAATGCCACAAAGTCAATGATATCTACGCTGCAAACACTTTCAAGAGTCGACTCTAACCCATCCCGAACACAATAAAATTTTACGCTATCCACTGATCCAAAAAATAAAAAAAATAAAAAAAATACCATCCGCTACTACCCCCTTATCGATAAGATATACAATGGCCTTAAAGCCACCTTGGTTCTTCGGTAATTATCGCAAGAATCCGATGATGGTATAATACTTTTGGGAATGAGAAATTGCAAAAAAAAATAAAAAAAAATAAATAAATAAATAAAGAGAAAATCAACTACCTTTCCATGCAAAGCGCCGCGAAAGGGGAGCGCAATTAGAAAAAAATAAGTCAATCCAACGAGAGATAAAGGAAGGAATGAGAAAAAACTCCAAGAGATGATTGAAAAGAGTCATAATAGAGAAAGCTTTTCCACATCCATTCCTCTTCTCCGCACAGGTACCATATCCTACTGACGGAAACAAACAAAGGTACTCAACAAGCCGTAAAAACAACTACACAGACCATATTTCCGTCACCTGCCAACCTCAATTACTCAAGCAATTTAATGTCATCTACGTGCTCCCCTGGACAACCCCATCTGACTTCTAGTTGCTCCTGCAGCTCCGCTAGTAGCACGCATCGGACCTTTGACAGGCGGTGCACCCATTCCCGTCCCGGCAGACGGCTTCTTCAGCCCGCCGTTCGCAGTACCACCACCGAGCATCACATTTGCTGCTGCAGGCCCAGCACCACTTAACACTTTCTTCTCCTGGCGAGGAATTGGTGGCTTTTTGGCAGCATTTTGTGGTTGCGGTCCCTCTTCCCTTCCCCTCTTCCTGCTCATGGCAGTAGTTGTTCCAATTTTGGAACTGTAGCCGCCGAGCCTGCTGGTTGGCCTGTCGTATTGAATTCTGCTACCAGGTCTGCTCTCATATCGGTCGCGACCACCGAACGTTGAGTGAGAGGCAACACTGTTCGTAGGACTGGAAGGGAGGGGTACATGTGCGGCGGCCTCTGGCTCTGTCTTTCCGGATCCGGCGGCAAACTGGCAGCAAACTCCGAATTTCTTCTCAATTTCCAGAAAACGCCATGTCTCTTCAGCAGTAATCCTTGCACGGCGCTCGCCTTCTAGATTGGCTACCGACTTTTGAAGCTGGACTGAAGTGACCTCCAAATCTTCTCGTAGCTGAGCTACCTGAGCTTGGAGAGCCACTATTGTTGATGACATCTCAGCAATCTCAGGGTCCGGCGTAACCAATTTCCGAGTTTCCAACTTGGGAGGCCCAGGGGGAGGAGGGGCAGAGTTTGAGCGGCGTGTGCGGAATCGGCGCGCTGGGACAGACTGAATATCCAATTGAGCCTTTGGAGACTTAATAGCAGCCCCGGTTTGATCTTTTGGCTCGACATTTTGCATCTGGTAATGCTCGGTCTTCTGAGTGGAGCTCACACTCTGCTGTTTACCCCCGGCTTTTTGCCCAACCCCGGTATCTTCAGCAGTTTCTTCGACCACAGGAGGAGGTAGATAACCCTTCAATGATTCCAAGTTGATAGCACTAAACTCCCTGAACTCGATAGTCTCCCTTCGTCTCCGTTCTTGTTTTCTCTCTTCCGCAGTCACCTTTGGAATCTTCGTGGAAGTGCCATTGGCTATCCCCTCGAAAAGCCCAACAAATGACTTAGCTGGCGATCTCGAGCTGCCACGCGAGGCATTACGCGTTTTTCTGACCGTTGACGGGGGAGGTTTAGTGGGCGAGCGACGCTTCTTAACAGTACGTTGAAGGTCATCAGAAGCCGCCAAAGACTTCATTTTCTTCTCTGGTGAGAAATCGACAAATTCACCCATATCCTGTGTTTGAGAAAACAGCATTTCCTCAAGCTGGCGAATCTTCGCCTCCTTCTCCCGCAATTGAGTGTTCAAAAGGCTATTGTCAACCGAAAGCCGATAGGGATCGATTACTGGAGTGCCATGGATACTGTTCAACTTCTGTGGAGAAGCAGCCGAGAGACAAGGAAAAGGAGCCGTGTTTTCTTCTGCAAACATTGACGGGAGAGTATTGGGATTCATAAACGAAGCTGCACTGGCCTCAAAAGAGTCAATAGTCTCCTCATATGCACTCTTTCCACGGGGACCCTCCTCCATTGTTCGGCCAGGGAGGATACGGCGGGCCGTACGACGGGATAGGGTCGAAAAGGGTTGAGAGCGAATCCGTGGTTGAACAGGAGTGGTAGGATTGAGCGCTATGGTCTGGTCGAGATTTCCATAACCGTCGTTATCGAACTCCTCTCCTTCAGAGGTAAATCGGTCCAAATCAGAACTTGACTCCGTTCCAGAGATATCAGAAGAGTTGTAAACTATCTCGTCTCGATTTCCTCGCCTGGCCTCCGTTTTCGGTGCGGCGCCAGGATGATATTTCCCACCCCTTCGACTCGGCCTCCCCATAGGGGTTGCCATATCCTTAGGCGTCAAAACGTGGAAGGGGAGCAATGCCGGTGTAGGCGTGTTCAAATTCTGGAAGAGGTTGTTAGGGTCGTGACGAAATAGATCCGGTTGAGTGAAAGGTGCCTTCGCCCGGATTGTTTGAGGGATGGATTCGTCATATGTTCTAGAAGAACGATTGCCTGGCGTAGCGGCATAAGTTGAAGATGAATTGAAGTAGTTTGTATTATCCTCTGCAGGAAGAGGAATCGATTGGGGGGAGGCCATGATAGTGATAACGCAACGCGGGGAGGAAGGATGCACTAAGCCTTTCAGAAAGAGACTCTAAGGTGGAAGTGTCTTATGAAACGCAAAGAGATAAAATATTCAAGACGATAAGGATGAAGAATGGAAGTAGGAAGAGAGTTTGCAGCGTGCAAGGGGAGGGGAAGCAGAAGGATAAAGACAGACAGGCGTTGTTTTGTGTGTGTTGACAATATTCGGTTGTAAAGCGAGGGCTGAGGATCTTGGCAATGATGGTCGCTATGGCAACGCAAGGATCTTGTTTACAGCATTTTCTTCAATGGCAAGGATCACTTGCACCTGTATTCCCTCATTCTCTCTACCAATTGCTACAATAAATTATAGCTTCTTCCCCAACGTTGATAGAACAAAACATAGTTGTCTAGTGACCCAAATTCTCCCTATCTATGATACAAAGGGAAGAGTTGGCACCCTGTCCTCCAATAGCGAAAACCTAAGTCCTGCTTATGTAGAGAGAGAGAGAGAACAAATTGCATTCCCTAGCTTCACTTGGTGTCAGTACCTTGCATTGCCCTGCTTCTCCGAAACTGTGGAATTTGGAGACTTCTTTACCCACACATAGACAGATCCCCGTATATATTTATACCACTGCAGTAAAAGAGGCAGGATAGAAGCTATTTCCCTTCATATCGATCGCTCTTACCGCCCCCTCCTCCCCTCCTCCTCGTTCAAGCGCTTGTCTCTCAAATCTTCACCCTGCCTTCTCCTTGTCACACATCCAACCTCCCTCCCTCCGTCTCCTTTACTCACTTCGCTCTTACTATCCCTCCACCTCCTCCTATCCCTCCATTCTTGGAGCCGTTCTTCAATTTCAATTTTCATCGGAACACGAATTCAACACGTGCCAAGACTTTAATATTTCCTTCACTTCACTCTTTTCTCTCTTTGGACTGGCATCTCGCTCTCTCTCTCCCTCGCTCTCTCTTCTCTCTTGTCAGCGTAATTACAACTACCTCTCCTCTTCTTTCTTTTCCTTTAATCGTTGTCTTGGAGCATATTGGAGGCTTATTCTTTAGCACGCGTTAGTCTCTTCAATTCTTTCTCACGGTCTTTTCAGACGAAGGAAGGAAGGGGCCCAGCAAAGTCTTACTTTCCGACGTGACTCGCACGTCATGTATTAGAGCATCCAACACGCTCTCGCCCTCTCTCTTCCCTTTTTTGTTCCCCAACCCGCCTGCTCGTCAACGTTCCCAGGGGGGACTAATATCGAGTGTCTTCGCCTGACAACCTGCCTCGACATTTTCAACAGAGGCCGGTCCGAGATAACTCCCAACCTTTGTACACCACACTATCCTCCACATCATTTATTTAACTCTGTTATATCACATACACTCACTCGTTGTGGGAGACGGGCGCCGACAGAGCCTAGTCTTACCACCACCCTTTCTTTAAACTTACAAGTTTAAAGAAATGTCACCAACTAAATCTCGTCCCACTATTGCTAGACGTGCCGTTTCTGCTAATGCTAGTTCGTCCGCCTCGTCTATCCCGAGGCTTGTCAAACAGGCCACTGGTACAACAAAGTCATGGAAGCCAACCGCCGACCTCGCCTCGAAGACCCCTCTTAAAAAAGTCCCTTCCTTACTCCAGGATGAATCCGTGAACATTTCCCCGCCAAAGCCACTCTCGTACACTTCTGGTGCAAATAAGGAAAATGTCCCCGTTACTATCTCGCAGGGGAGGATCACTTATGTTGGCACCTCACCTTCGAGACAACCAAGTAAGTTATATTTGTTTCGATCGACGCTTCCGCCATTATACATCCTTAGTGCTTCAGATGCCGAAAAGAACCCATTCAAGTGTTATCACGTCAATATGCTGAACCTTTCTTTTTTTTTTTCCCCGCCTGCTTACTCTTCGCATTCATTTTGTATAATGTTTTTTTTTTTCTTCTATGTGAAACATAAAGTTGACGCACTTGATTCCAGCCGGCATATCTAAGCTCCCTAAATCGTCTCTTGCTGCTCTTAAGAAGAAGGCCAAAGGACGCATCCCTCTCCGCGAGCTAAGCGAACAGGAAGTGTTCGAACGCGATGAGGCGGTTCTCGGTGACCTTCGTCGTAGACGATCCGGGGAACACGGGGCATTTGAAATCGACTCAGTTCTCGCGAATCCCCAGGCATCTGCCAATGAAGGTGATCGTGCAATCTCCGTCTCGTCATCTACTACACATGGCTCTGTCTCGTCCCAGTCCACCGCAGCAACCGAAATTGACGGCGAGGGTGATGGTAATAACAATGGGAAAATCCGTGTCCTTAAGAGAAGCGATTCTGAGGAAGAATTGCGTGCGAAGATCAACGCGATTCTCGAGAACACCGCATCTGCAAAACCAAGCACTAACAACAAGCTGACCAAGCGCAAAGGTCTACTAACTAAAGCTACACGTCTATCCCCCATGAAAGCATCCCACCCCGCCGTCCGTCAGTCCTCTCCGTCCCCGAAGAAGGCATATCACTCCGAAGCGGCCTCGTCCTCCCCTAGCGCTGTCTACTCCAGTGGTTCACCCTTCTCTTCTCCCCTGAAAGCCTTAACCCTTCCCGAGTCTCCCCTCCGCATCTTGCGCTCCCCCTCACCAATCGCCAAGCCCGCCCCCGTTAGGACAGGCCTAGGAAATAAGGCTATCAACACTATACTCCAGGACAAGTCTGCGGACAAGGAAAAGAAGGTCATCATCACGAGCGGCAACACCAACCAACCCTTAAAGAGGAAGACCATCACGAAAAAGGCAGGAAGCAGCAGTCTCCGCAGAGCCACAGGCTCTATTCGCTCTACCTCCACCATCTCTTCCACCAATTCTTCAAGACTAGACGAAATGCGTAAGATGCGATAATGCGCAATGCGAAGAGAGAGAAAAATGGGCTGGGGTAGTGATACTATCGCTGGGGTCTATATAATGTCCACGTTTCTTATATAACGACTTTGTCTCATTTCTTCTCGCTTCTTCCTTCTTCCCTTGTGACAGCGGATTCCACGGAGTTTGATTTTAACTTGCGTGCTTTGAGTTTTTGTTCTTCCTTTCTTTCACCCGATATACCCCCCCCCCCCCGCCAATCATCCACTTCCCCATGCCTTGTTTTTATTTGATCTTTGTGCGCGAGTTGACTTTTGTTTAAAAAAGCAATTTTTATGATTGTAGCTTTGCTTCGAGTTAGCATACAGTAGGTTGGCCGGTGGGGGTTGGTTGTATAGTGTGAATGCGGAATGGATCGGACTGGACTGGGCTGGGGTGTGTCGTGTGTGGGGCTGTGTTTAGTGAATTGAGCTTTCTATGAATAAATTCCGTGAAGGTTTTTATTCTATTTTTCTTTACTCTATCACACTCTGCTTAATCTCGGCTAGTATTGGGTCGGTTACGGGTGAATTTTAATGTCTTGGAGAAGTCTAGATGGTTATTGGGAAGCGTCAGTACACCCAGTTGACATGGGATAGGCCGAATAACTCCAAATTTTGGGGCTTTGATGCCAACAGAACCCGGCGTGTGTATTACTATAAAATGGAAAATGAACAAATACAATGCCCCGAGCCCACCAGGAAAAATAAATCCTTCGAATTATTCCGCCCACCCATGGCGGGTTGGTGTCAGATACTTCCTTTGAGAGCCCATGGTGCCCGGCAAGACGGGGGGTCCTGTATGCGAAAAATACATTGCAATTGGTCCCAACCACCTCAACCCAGCAGTGGATAAAGGGTGTTTGACATAGCGAGTGATGAGCCGTGAACGGTCATAGGACATCACTCGCTAGCCGATCGGCAAGGGGGCACAGAACACACCTCAAAAGTGGGGGTCTTCTTAGAGACTACTACTACTGCACAGATTCTCCTACAACTGGCTTCAAAGCGCTTTGGAAAAGTTCGTTCAGAATACACCGCGATTCTCACCCCCCCTCCAACCCTCATCCTTTCGCTCCCACCGCAGAGGACCCTTGCGCAGACTTACACCGACGACATGCCAAGGACTCACTATGGCTTTGCGCTCCCGGAAGGGAGGAGGGAAGGAAGGCAACGAACCCTCCAATTCCCAGGAAGGTGGGTTGGTTGCCGTGCGTGCGAGCTCGGCGGTCAGCTAGGAGTGACCGGTGCACTCAGATTCGCGGGGCTGAGCCTGAAGCGCGATTGAGGTGGGGGGGGGATTACTGTGAGGACTTAGTCCCCACAGTTCTATTCACGCCGGTGAGGAAAAAAACTTGAGGAGGAGGTTCAGTTGATCGTGGGTTGGGAAGTATGATAATACTCCGGGAGCATTTAGTAATAGGAGAGGGAGGGAGTGGGAAGGAAATTCTGTTTACATCACTGTTGTATTCCCAGGATTGGATACGACGTGTTGCCGATTTTACTGATTCTAGTCCTACTCGGTGTTTCCTATACGGGTCTGCCTTTTTGTTCACCGAAATATTTTATCTTCATAAAATATCACTCGCTCTTTCCATTTCTTCAACACTTGGATGTTGAAATATTCAGCGCGCGAGGTGACCAACTTGCGTCCTGCTGGCTGGGTGGAGGTATTTGGTGGGATGGGAGGTATCTTCTGGGTAGGAAAATCCCTGTTTTGTTGGGTACTACAGGCCTCAAGGAAGGAGTTGATCGCTACTCCGCCCGGGTCGGGGTGGGGGATCCGAAGAGTTTCGGCCTATCTCCTCACTAAGGTAAACAGCTTATATTATTTTCCGGCAGTAGGAAGTGCGCTGTGTGGGGGGGATAGCGATGGGGTGAGATTGTTGCGCATTTGCGAAAGTTAAGTGTATATTATATATGAGCCGGCCCACGGGTTGTATCTGTCCTAGAGTTCAGGTAAATTTACGGCACTGGGCATATTCAATCAATACGGTATTTTGTTAATTCAATTTTTAGCGCAGAGTGTGATATGCCCGGCGCTACTACACAACCATACCCCTCCCCCTCGAATTACCAAACAAATAGCAAATTTTTTTTTGCCATGAATGATAATTAACCAGCTAGTCAATCAACTTTTACACCCAATCTTATGCTCTTTCCAATCCGTCTTTTGACATGCACCCGAGCAGTACTCTACTTTCTTGCATCTCCCACACCTCATCAAATTCTCCGTCTTCCCACAGACCCTGCACTTCCCAGCCATTTCCTTCTCCAGCCTTGCCTTCTCCTCCTCCTCCTCTTTCGCCCTCCTCGCTTTCTCCGCTTCCTCCTCCTGTGTAATCTCAGCGTACATCCCCTTCAGCGCCTTGATCCTCTCGTACCCCACCGGCTCCAAATATGACACAGGTTGAATCGGTGAGATTGCTGCACGGGTAACATAAGGGGCTAGTCCCCTCCATTCCCGCTTTCCTAGAAAGTCTACGGAGGGGTTGCCAGGCGCACAACTGCACAATGGTGAACGGTGAAAGTCCTTGGTAAGTGGTATTCCACCCCTTTTGAAGGTGCAGTTGTCCTTGTGCTCCCAGTTTCTACAACGCTCAACGAACGCCGGGAGGAGATCACACCAGGCGGTCACTTCGTCTGTGGAGGTGGCCATAGCAGAGATGCCCGAGTGGGACATGTTCCTGAAGGCGATCTCGACAGCTAGTTCGCTAGCTGGGGTAATCGGGAGGATGCATGCATCCATGACGAGAGTGTGAGAACCAAGGTCGAGGCGGAGGTCCGTTGGGAAGATCAATAGGAGGACTTTTCCGATGGGTGATTTCAAACCAAGAATCATTTGTCGCGAGGTGCCGTAGACACCGGCATATTGGCCGAGGAGGTGCTCAATGGTTTCTTTAATGTCTACTACCCAGTCCTCACCTACGTGTACAGCTTTTTGGCGGATTATGGACTCCCTGTCGGAGAACATCATGTTTAGGTGATTTGTGATCCAGAACAGGGCGGGAGGACTTCGAAGGTCAAGTTGTGGGAGGATGTCGAGGCTTAGATAGTGGATGTTCCAGTTTGCCGGGCGGCCATTTGGGAGACTTACTGGGAATTTCTTGTGAGAGAAACCGCCTGGGGTGAGGGGGTAACAGGCGGGGACTGAGACCTGTTTTTTTTTAGGGAAGGTAGAGTCAGTATGGGACGTGTTGTTGTATTTGATAATGAGGGCTTACTTCGATATAGGATGATGTCCTCGCGATTTTTGTCTTTGCTTGAGCAACATCGACGGGGAATGGGAATGCCATCGTTTGCCTGAGTCCCCCGAACTGGACCTGGAGTGTGCAAGGTGACGACTGGATTACCGTAACTTCTGCACCGCTAGACAGTTTGTCCTTCGCAATCTTCACCAGGAGATCTCCTCGGATCGTAAGGCTAACGATTTTCTGGCAGGATTCGTCAAGCTTCACTCGGACGGGGCTTATCTCGACGGACCTGAGCGGTGACGGAACAAATGTTTCCCTTTGGAAAGATAGGGTCCGAACTTTATCCATTTCAGAGGAAATATATGGTCGTGTCCTCGTTACGATCACATTTTTCGAAATGAGATTTGTCTCGCTCAGACGCATCATTTGTCCGAGCCTTAGCAGGAGCGCTAAAGCTCCTGTGGTTCTAGGTGCCATAGGCACAGCTCTAAAAGCAACGATTGTGTCGTTCGGGTGTGTTATCAGGGTCCACGATGGAACCCAGAAAGACACAACGAGTGGAGAAGTCCCGTGCCATCCGTCGGGCGCCTCGTCAATGACAACTCTATCCCCTTCTCTCCTAGCTTTTCCAAACACCGGATGAAAGCAGCTATAGTAGTTCTGGCCACCTCTATTCCACGTTTCGCAGTGCAAAAAAGGATTGCCGGCGCCCCCTCCGGTCTCGATGAGTGGCTTGAGGGCACCTCGAGACACGGTCAGGACAATGCAGACCACTGGAGGGACGTCCTTCCAATCTTTAAACACTCCCACATTTGGCTGGGCATCAGGGTACACTTGCCTGTAATTACCAAGGAAATCAAAAGTGTGGAGACCCATGACATGCAATTGAGCAGCCAACTCTTGGTAATTACTTTTCCCCAGTGATAGGTTCGTATCACTCACAACCAGCTCATTAAACTGCCTTATAAAATCGTCCCAATCCGTCTTGACACGGTCCTTCACGAGTTTTAGTAGAAGAACCAACGTCCCGCGGGTGTAATGTATCAGGTTGATATCCTTCATATGCTCGTCTGGCTTAAACATTTTTTGATAAACCCCAAAGATGAAACGGGCCAGTTGTGTCGATTCGTACTCCAAAATCTTCGTTTGTATCCCATCAACTTTGACCGCTAGCGGATCACTAAGGGAGGCCAGCTTCCAGGTTATTCTCTCCTGGAAAGTGCCGTCACCGCCGTCCTTCGGATCTCCCACGAGGGTTAGAAGAACCGCGTGAGTGCTTGAACGACTGTTGACGTGCATCAGATACGATATCGGTGCTAAATCGAAGAGTAGCGAAACCGCCGGTATATCACCACATATCCGGTCGGATAGCGCGTCGATGGGAGTGTTTCCCGGGCGGAATTTTGTTTCGCTGTATACGGACGACAATGGCGATCTTATGAGAAGTGGTGTAGTCATGAGAAGGAGATTGATGAGCCCGAGATGGTCAGTGAGATTCGAGGTGTCGATAGCATTAAACATTACTGGAGCCCTGTTCTCCGAGTCCTCATTATAGTCTCCACCGTCGAGACGTAAAGGAGAAGTCGTCCATGGCGCTGCGTAATATCCCGTGTCTATTGACTTTTGAACTCGACAGTAGTTCAAGGCCTTGCAAAAGGACATAGCATCCCCATTGAAAAATCGTATCGTCAACTTATTTTTCTTATTTGCGAGTGCATCTTTAAAGGACTTCACCCATTCAAAGAACTCCCGTCTCGCTACCTTCACAACATGACTAGGCTCAACCTTCTTCTTGTACACTTTGGGCTCCGACTTGAGACCACAGAAAGCCGGGCCGATATGGATACCCAGAAGTGGGTCGGAGCCATAATGCAACGCCAAAACCTTTCCCGAGAAGGAATGAGAAAGCGTAGGGTTCGGAATTGTGGTAGTAGCGATAACCTTCGGGTCCATCGAGTAGGTCCCCTTCACCCAATAATGGCGCAGGAGAGATTGGGTACTCTCCACAGCCTCCATCGTGAGTGGCCCGGAAGCGAGAGTGGATGATATGTCGTGCTTAGGAACTTTTAGCAGAGTACCAGCCAATGCCTTGTTGAATTTCTCGCCGTACTCCTTCTTCTCGCGACCCACTAGCTTTGCATTTTTTATGTAGGTCTGCCACTGTGCACGGAGCTTGGAGAGAGTCCGTTTGTCGCACATTCGCATAAACGAAGCATAGCGGCTGTTATTCCAGCTGCTAATATCCGCCGAAACATTAACCAGCTTCTCGCATTGATCCGAGAGAGCAGAGAGTGACTCCCGATCCAGCTTGATGTGATAAAATATATTCCACAACTTTTCGCTCCTCGCCTCGGATTTATTCCCCTCGAAAATCAATGCTAGTAGTATAACATTTCGTGCTGAACATCACCCAATCAAAACCCATTTCCACCAAAACTTTAAGAGGGATCCTGACCTAGAATTCCCGACTCAATATCGCAACAGGTAAAATCGTAATCAAAATCCACTACCAGTCGCCATCACTGTAAGCCTCCAAACTCCATGACCGAAAGAGATACGCAGAAGGCGACAGATAACCCCACTTTTAGCACACTGAACCGAAAATAAAATACTCCTCGGATCCCCACACCCCAACGATAAGACCTTCGCCGGCTCCTCCGGCGGAAGATCTTGTGTCAAACATGATGCAACTGTATTCCCAATGGCATAGAAGAACGGCTCTGGCCAGTAGATAGTTTTATGCGACATCGTAGATTCCTCTCCCGCGCCTAGTATTAGAAAATTTGATGATGTTTTTGGTCGATGGCGATAAAGAGGGAGGGAGAAATAGGAGGGGGATGTGGGGGGTGGTTAAAAGTGGAATGAGTGGGGTGGTAAAACGCCCCTGATGGGAAAGAAACAAATTGCGGGGAGCAAAACAGCTCAATAAAGTGCTATATCACAATCCGGGCTGAGTGAGTAAGGCAAACTCCTAAGGCGAATTGACAACAAAAAATTAGGCTGCCAATAGAAGTATTCTATAACCCAATACTATCTATACACCCAGTGCCTACACCAGATGGGTGCAGATAGAGCACTGGATGGGGGTTTACTCGAGCAAGGAGGAATACGATTCATGGTAAATGTCTTGGCTTGGTTTGCTGGCCGGCTAGCCAGCTGCACATTCGTTTTTCCAGCAGAATTGCTGCTGCGAGTTGCCGGTTTTGCATGTTACCTTCAATATAATTTATTTACCCATGCTACCGCATCTTTGTTGAACATTTGTTGAGAGTGACTGTCTTTCGATGGGTGAATGTTTTCGAGGCCTACCTCGAAGGCTGCCTTCGGCGGTATGATGTATGGGCAACTCACTTCACCCAAACATTCTAGGAGAGCCTACCACACATGCCCATTATATCATCAGTTATCACTCGCTCTAGATTTAGTTTTCCTGCAGATCAAACTCTAGTTGCGCTGATTGAACCGCAAGGTCGAGTAGCATTGTCTCTCCATTGCTTGTGACTCGATAATTGTTCCATGGCTTTTATGCATGCTGGTCCCCTTTCATCTATATCCTTGTCATGCAGCAGCTGAACCATCACAGCCGCAAGTCCTCAACCCAAGCAAAGACAACTCGGTCCCACCACGCCGTTAACAGCCCGCAATCACACACCGTTAACCCCACCATCGGTGAATGTAAAGCAGCAGGCCCCACCCATAATAACGAAAATCGAGTGATACATAATGAACCTCCGCCGAGTCCCGGAATGAATGTAGAATTCTCGCACCTAACGAAGTGAGGGCTGAAGTTTGAGCAAGGTTAGGGAGGTATGATAAGAAGCGGAGTTTCTAGTAATATACGCGCTTTTAGCGCGTAGCACAACACTAGTAGAGCATCTGAGTCGACATATATTGGCGAGTGGAAAGAAATACCGAATCCTGTGTGCTCCGATCCTCCACCCTCACCACGAGCCCCGTAAAAACTACACGTTCCTATGATACCAGCAATACTCGAGTACAACACCGGCACAATAACCCAAACACATATCATCTATGTCACTTTTGCGCTCATAAGGAGATGGAATTCGAAGAGGCAGAAAGAAAAGAAAAAGAAGCCCCAAATCCCAAGTATCCCATCTTTGCACTGATGAATAAACACAAGAATGCACCCCAACCCACCCTTCATCAAACTCATCGCGATATCTCAATCCAGCCAAATCGAGAGGTATAAACAGAAAAAGAGCAAAAGAAACAAAGTCTCCAAGCTAGAGGAACAAAAAACTCAACACGCTCACAGCACATTAAAGTTAAAAATCCTCCCTTTTCCCAACAAAAAAATAATAAAATAATAAACCGAATCAAAGCCAGACTGGTGCCTTGACAAGGATAAGCTTCCCACGGACCTCACAGGCCATGAAACCAGCCAGTCGAACTCTATCGCCGTCTTTTGGTGCAGTAGGGTCTTGGGCGGGTTGTGGTTGCTGTTGTTGGGAGAGCGACGCCTGGCTTCCAGAATTACCGTTATGTTGCAGACCCTGCTGTCCAGTCGAGGGAGAAAGATTCGGGCTCGTAGGCTGGTGAGCGGTCCCTTGGAATGCTTTCTTGACTCTGTTGAGGCCCGCAAGCTTCTTTCCAGCACCTTCCTTATTCTGCATTGCTCCTGTTGGAGGTGGCAATGCCCCGATACCAGCTTTGCCCGCAGGCAAAGGTTTGTCGTCTTTTGCCGGCGCCGGGGGTGGTAGCGGTGATGTCTCACAGCTCTCCATGATGTGACTTTGCTGGTTTGTATCCAATTGCAATTTCTCTCCTTCTCCTTCTAGTCCTCTGGTGGGGGTTACGAGGGGTGGTAATCCAACCTCTCCCCTCATGAATTTGCTATCGAATCGTTCACCCGGAAGAGGGTACCATACCCTCACATCTCTAGATTCCAGAGGAAGGTTGGCGCCAAGGCCCACGGCGATGTCGACAATCATCTGGATGCCTCCTAATAGCCCAGGAGGAGAAGGTTCGTGAAGATGCATCTGTAAGCTCTCGGCCAGCTGCTTCACAAGATGTTCCGACAAACGCTGCCGGTACTCCATCGCGTGGGGGCCATGTATACTATCTCGTAGCCCGTCAAGTGTCGTAAGTCTCCAATTGCACACTTTAGCGCTAAGGGCATCGTCATCCTCAATTGACTGCAGCGGTGGAGCATTGATTCTAATGCCATGCTCAACCATCTTGAGTTGGGCACTTAGATTAGCATCCAATGCAGGATGAAAAAACTTCTCCAGGATTTCGTCAACAACCCATTTAGAGATACAAGCCCTGCCGACAACCGTCATTTCCCGACCCCCCTTAACTTCTGCACCGGAATTTATGACACCTCCAAGCCAGGAGGGAATTGCCTTCCAAGACTGCCGAATCTCGAAGGCCACATTCTTGATCGCACCATCAAGGCGATCAAACCGATTGGCGTATTCATTGTCATCAAGGGAGGTACGGGACTGGGAAATACGTTGATGTGCAAGAGTGTTCTGCAGGCGCTCGATCTCGGACTTGCTCTCGAAATACAGATTCTTAACCTTGCGGTATTTGGCCGCTATATGAAAATTGCCCTATTAGCATATCTCGCTATCAAGCCCCCAGAAATCCCCATTTTTCGCAATTGACTTTATATGGCAAGATTAAGTTGTCGGAAGCTTCCCAGTTGCACGCGGTGGAGATAAACCTACTCAAAGTCTCATGATCCTGCAGTAACTGCGGGACATTGATAGCTTCCGGAGCTGATCCGGATCGTGACTCGGCTCTGTTTTCAGGTGTCATCCTCCCCATCGGCTGTCCTTCGTACTTAGCTGGATCATAAGCTAGGGGCTGGTTCCCCCCGGTGCCGCCTCCAGCTTGAATTTGATAATCCTGCTGGTTGGGGTTACCCCTCCCGCTTGAAGCGTAAACATTCATTTGAGATAACGCAGATGCTTCACGAGATGGCCCAACTTGGTTAGACTGTTCCATAGATCGGCGGGGTTGGTTATGAGCCTGATTGGCCATTGCGTGATTACCTTGTGATTGCTGTTGCTGCTGAAGTTGGACTTGAAGATTAGCAGGGTTTTGAAAGCTATCCTGACGCTGCGGGTGCGGATGCTGAGAGTATTGCTGTTGAGCTGGGTCGGTATCGGCACGCTTAACGGAGTAATGCTCTCCTTCGCTCTCCTGTGGAGGAGCTAGCATAGACTGGGGTCTACCCGGGGAATGAGGGGGTGGCCCGGGGGAATGCGGTGATTGTTGCAAATAAGGATCTAAATGGTCGGACTCGGTTTGTTGTTTTTGCTGTTGCGGAAAGGATGGTGGAGTGGACTGATGACGGGATAGTCGTCGGGAGAGACCTGCGTTGCTGCTGTAAGCGTCTGGTTGCGGGGAGAGAGGTGGGGCAGGGGCTTGGATTTGGCAGTCTCGGTCGTAGTAAGAGGCAGAACCAGCGGAAGGAAAGGAATTGGTACCGGCAGGCAAGCGACTCCCGTGATTAGAACCTCCGGGATTATTATTGTTGCCAGCGGCGTTGTTATTTTCGAGAGGTTTTCGAGAGGAAGGGTTATAGGAGGATAGCGAGGAAGAAGAGGAGGGGTTGTTGGCTTCTTGCTGTTCAGCCGCAGATCTACTATCTGAAGGGACAAGCTGGACGGTGGCGCCTCCGTGGCTTGAGTGGCGGCTCAAGGAAGAATAGGCCTGCTGGAGAGGTCCAGAGATGGTAGGGCGAGGGGAAGCAGAGGAAGGAGGAGGAGTGGGAGTAGCGGATGTGCGATTGTGCTTGGAGAGGAAAGATGGAAGGGTGGGCATAATGGCGGGAGGCCAGCGAAGTGACTCGGAGGATGAGGGGAGGGTGTAGGTGGGCGCGAAGGGGGGCAAGAAGCGGCGAGGAACCAGGAAAAATACCGTACACAGGCAGAGAGTGTGGCGGGATTCCTCTGGTCAGGCAGGAAGGCTCCACCGGTTAGAGAGGGGCAGCAGTGAACGGGTCGCTGAACAGGCAACGCACGGGGAGCGAGCTAGCAATAAAACAAGCAGACAATGGATCAAGCCAAAGAATGAGCAGTACCCGCGCCGTACCGTATGCTACCGTAGGATTATTTTGCCGTATAGCACCGAATGCAACCAAACTCGGCCAGACGAGGGGAGGGGGGGGAGATAATGTGAAAGAAGTGGGATAGAACAGAAAGATGCACAAGCGGTACGTGCTGATGATCCCCCAAGAGGTATGCACTCGGTACGTGTCAGAAAGAGACTGGGCCTCGATCAAACTTTCCGAGATGCTATCGAGGGGAGGTTTAGGTTCGGAGCGGAAGAAGAAAATAGACTGGGTGAGAGGGCGAGGGTGTGTATATGAACTGACGGGGGCGTGGTGCGGGTACAGTACGAGTACGAGTAGAAGAGGGTGAAGAAAAAATGGTTCATGGAACCTTTCACTTGCATCATACTCGAGTACAGAAAGTGAGAAAGGTGCACCACCGGCTCTGCTCCCTTCCTTCTTTTCTATCACAATTATCATATCATACATCCTACCGTTCTGGGGGTTGTGGCTCTGGCTTGTGGGCTGGCCCCCGATGCCTTGGTGCTCACTCCTTCCCACGATCTGTACGGTACGTGAGCCGCTGTGCTCAACCCAACAAGCTTCTCTGCAGTGCATTCGAAGCGATATAACATCTACTGTACTCGTACAATACTCGAGCGTCCTCAATCGGCACTCCTCCCATACTCGAGTAATCCCAACCTTTCCCCCCATTCACACCCATCCATCTGCTGTGCCCTCAATTAATTTCCACTGCTCTCAAACACGGAATGTTACTCCAACGCAATTCAGTACAGTACGAGTACAGTACGAGTACAGTAACTCTTATTCCTCGCAGAAAGCTCTTCGGCTACGTTGCAACTAACCTTAAACAGAAAGCCACTTATTTGCAGTCCCCTTTCCCCATTCTCTTACCGATTTCAACTGTTTACCGCGGCATCTCAACCAAGTTAACCTCCATTACACCCCCCAGCTGATGCCCCTCTTCTCAGGTTTCAGCCTTAGCTTTGAACAAGACTACGATATGATATCTTACTGCACGAATTTCTAAATATAACCAATCGGGGCGATGTCAGCGTGCAACCCCGCTGTTATTACTTCCACTGCATCGGCAAGGGTTCTTCGAATGAGCTGATCGGTTTCAGATGTGCAACACTGCGAATCTTCCAGCCCGAAACCACCTTTACCCTACGGCACCGTCTCGGTAGAGAAATCGTTGGATAAATGGAGGTTCTACCGTACGGTACTGTGCCAACAGCAGAGCCTCATGCCTTCCCCATCCTCTCCATCATCCGCCACTCGCTAACACGAGGCCACCAACACGGGGCTAAGAGACCTTATTGAGAAAGAGACACCAGGGGGGCCCGCCTGATTTGGCGGTGCCGAGCCGAAATCAAAGTATCATACGCGAGTATCTTACATTAGGCTACCATACTCGAGTAAATGGACAGAAGTCCAGGTGGTGCTGATTCTCCCTCCTCGAGAAAATTTTAATAGGCGCTAGCCTGATTGATGCTCTGGTGACAGAAAGGAGTCCTTGGGTCCAGGGTCGTGATTGGCGCAAATCATGTCAACTTCCAATATTGCATACGAGTGCTTAGGTGCACATACTCGCCGCTCGTAACATCATGGGTGGAAAGGCTCTTCAATACGATTCATTTTTGTGCATATATATGGCCAAGACATACCATCTACCGGTAGCGGTATGATAAAAGGTTTCGCAATGCCATGGCACGAACAGCCAAACCTTCGCAGAAGACTAACGGTCTTTTGTACGAGTATGATATCTCCCGAACAATGTACAAGTAGAAAATTCCTGGAATAGGCTGAGCATACAGCCGCATCCGTAAAGTTCTAATGCTCTCCCAGGTGCCCCTAGCCCTTGGAAGCGTTTCGTTAGCCTTCCCTTTCCTTCTTATTGCTATTCAGTAAAAACTAATTATGATAAAAGTCAATGCCTCTAAAAGCATATCCGGGAACAGTTATCCAAAAGCTATTATTGTTCTCTTGTTGTCAATAGACAGTTCTCGAGATATCATACAAGAAAATGTATGAGAACTTTACGGTACGGACGCGTCTGCACTAGCGCTCGTACATACAAGTTTCTAGTTAATTGAAGTACGTGATGCTTTGAGAGAGAGAGATCCTTTGCCTCCTCTGAGAATAACAAAGCACAAAAAATTTGAGAGCCCGTGCTGTACGAGTACTGTACTAGTACACACAGCTCCCGGACACTACTATTTTCCAAACCATCTTTAGAATTTTTTTCTCTTCTTCCCCGCGGTCGGTAAACTCTTCAGCTTACGGCATTGTTATTATTATCATTTACCGGTATACGGTTACAAGCTCCATTAAATTTTGCGAAAGAAAAAAAAAGGTTAAATGAATATTACTAAGAATTACCTTCACACTCGATCATTCTATTATACAGTACGTACGGTAATCTACTCGCCGCGCTTAAGTGGAGTAAGCATTGCAGACGGGGGTGGCAGCACAGGATCGGCATGGTTTTTCACAAGATCATCAACCGCCGGGTTTGCTGCCGTGTATAGTAATTATTCCGCGGGGGCCGTTAGGGGGAGTTCTGATCCCGAGCGCAGTGAGTTATTGTCTACAAGTAGTGCCTAGTACGTGCAACCACGGATTTTCGAGTGACATGCAATGACAGGAGTTTAATACTTTATTTATCCTTGTTTTGCCGACCCGGCTTCAACAGCAGGAGAACAGCATTTTACCGGTACTCGAGTACGAGCTTTTACGAGCGCGTCGGCCGGAGCGAAGGTATGGTGTGGGGTACCGTAGTGTATCATGGTGCAATACGAACACGCCGTTGGGGTGAGCAAAAATTATTGATACCTACAATAATGAGAAAAAGAGGGGATGTGGTGCTTTACCGGTACTTGTACTGGTACAGTATCGGCCCCTTCGGTCGAAACGGCATCATAGGCAGTTGCCGGTACGGATATCCACTTCGAAACGCTACTTCAGACAGTGACCCCCTGAAAGTTGCCTTTGGCCACGCGGGTGCTCTATTCTACCTATGATATTCTATTACTCTAAAATCCACGCATGATACATGATACTCAGCATCTGGATGGAGGGTGAAAAAAAAAAAAAAAAAAAAAAAAAAGTATAAAAGAAAAAGTAAAAATACACTACTCGTACTATACAGAGAATTCTACAGGTAGCCCCAAAGAAGCTGGTCTAACTCCAAACACCGTATAACTTACCGCAATGCTCACAGGACCCATAGTGAGCACGTAAAATTACATAATATGACAATACCGGAACCCCTTCTATAGCCCGTAGTACTCGGGGCAGTAGTCGCCACCGATTTCTTCGTCGTGGCCCAGTGTAGCCTTCATAACGATCCCTGACCTTCTGAACTCTTGTTCCAACCTCAGTGATGCTGGCAAACCTAGGCCACCCCCATCACCCACCACACTTTCCCTCCTGACGCCCATATCGTGACTTGGCCTGGGTGCGGGAGTTGGTCGGGTCTCATAGCTAGGGTTTCTGCTGTGACCTCCACTATGATCCCTACTATGGTCTCTGCTGTGATCTCTACTAGGCACCCGACTCCGATCCACGCTTGGACTCCGGCTAGTTTCAGCACTCGAGTCGAACGCGGTATTTGGAACTGAAAGTTTTCCGGGGTTCTGAGATGGGGCCATAAGCAGGGTCAATAATTGGCGTCTCGTGTGCTCTTCCTCCGGGATCAGATCAGGGTTCTCCAATTCCTCACGGAGGACGCAGACGTTCCGATCTCGTTGGCGAATCAGGTCTACCCTTCGCTGTCCCGTCAATGCAGCAGCTCCGTAGAAGCTTGGATCTGTCAGCGGGTAATTCTTGATATGAAATATGGTAGGTACTTACAGAATGAACACTCCACTCACAACGACTGCGGATATGGCTGTTGCACTCCATTTCTCTTCCCCGGGATCGTATTTCTTGCCATGGACATTGAATAGAGTACTAAGCATTCCCAATGCCGACCCAGTAAGTCCTGGTCTTTCGGAAAAAATTAGTGACCTATAAATCGTTGGGGGTAGGGGGGGTAATGTACATAAATATGGCCTCCACTTGGAACAGTATGTTCCTGAAGGTATAGCACAGCATTCCAGTAATTATGTACCCGGTTAATAGCAATGCCACTGCAGATGCCCTCAATATATTGGAATCGATCCTGAACTTCGAGTCGTCATCATCAAACGCTGAGGGAAGCACCACAAATCTTGACGCAATTAGTCAGAAGAACAGCCCATGATCGGCCCGGGGGGTGACAAACCCAGCAAGCATCATCCAATTCGCGCACGAGGCAACGAGTTTCCATCCCCAGTGTATAGCATCCAATTCCCTGTAGAGTTCATCGAGATGCTGGTGCCGAATCGGTTTCTCAAACGTAGTAGACGAGGTCTTCAGCTTCATGATATCTATCCACGTCGTGCAGCGCTTTCTTCACGCCCGTCCCGTTTACTGGCTCCCACACGATCTTATAGATGTATCGGTATCCAACCCGTGGCGAAGCTCGCTGAGCCTGAGCGCTTGCGCCTGCCCGGGCAGTGTGTCTGCGACGACTGATTTTATGCTTAAAAGAGAGAACGATGCCCCGTTTCCTGGGATTAAGGAGGGTAACTGGAATGAACCGGTGTGCCAGCGGAATGTCACTAGGGATGGGGAAGCTAAAGCTTAAGAGCATTGGTACAGTACCGGAATTTGCATATGAAGGGTAGGGGGATACGGTAGAGGAAGCTTCTTAGTAGGCGCCGCATTGATTATCTCGAATCCCATGAAACAGTGTTTAACCTTGCTTGTCCCTGGGCTTACGGAGCAGCACTTTTACGGGCAGAAGCCTGCACCGTGTTATAAGCGGATTACTGAGTAATGCGGTGGCACAGCTCCGTAATATTTGGAGAAACTCCTAACCGTATTCCAGGGCTGTGCAACTTTAATATCGGTATCGAGGGCAAGCGCTCTGCATGTTGAACCGTGGGCACTGAGCCTGGGGTCTCGAGTGAGGCGTTGTGATAAAAGCTTCGGTATCTCACGCGCATTTCCGGTAAAGGGTGGTATTTAGCTACCGGTGTGTATTTCAAGAACCACTGTGTAATATATATGCCTTACTACGCAAAACTTTTTGAAATGGTATTTGGGGTATCATAGTCAGCGAAAGTCCAAGCCCATCTGTGATTTTACGTTACACAAGTGGTGGTTTGGGGTTGGTCCAAGGTAACTGATTACTGACACCACTAGAGGCGGCTGATCTGATAAGACAATTAAGTTGGGGTACAACCCTTATCTTCCACCCAAGCAGTCCCAGCCTGAATTCAACACAGCGACACCCACAAATCCTCCCTATCGCGAAAGCGGCGCTGTTTGGTAGCAAGCTACAACAATCAATAACGACAACATCATCCACAAAATTCCAACTAGCGGTGACCGACACTTATCGATCCCAGGGAATCCTCATATCGGCCACCCACCATGTAAGTTCCCCCCGATGGAGATGCGATTTTTCGTCCTTAAGCCCCCCAACGGGGGAGCAATCCATACAGTGGGGGGGGGAAACGCTATATCCAATTTTGAATATCCATTTCGACCCCCTACTGCCGGGGTCCGTTGGGTGTGGTTACGGTTACGATATGGAATAGGTGCTGATTAGGCTTTTCTGGCTCTAGGTCGCTTGTCAGTGGTGAGAAATCGAACTTCCAATTCATCGTAGGTAACCTCTTCACTTGGTTCTTTCCGGAAGCTGCTGGTTGCTATATGGGGCGTTTTGTGGTGGCAGAACGACTGAAAAGCAGGCTTTGAGGAATTGGGGAGACCGGAGATAGCAACCAACAGGAGATATCGGATTGGAACACAGCCATATGGCTGATAAACACATTGGGTTCACGGTACTGATGGGTTGCTATTTTCAGTTGCGTCTCCTTAACACCAATGTCGACGGTAAACAGAAGGTCATGTATGCCTTGACCAAGATCAAGGGTGTTGGAAGGCGTTATTCCAACTTGGTCTGCAAGAAGGCTGATGTCGACTTGAACAAGCGGTATGTTACGCTTCGGGATCCACTATCGCACTTGTTCATTCGGTGTTACTAACATACATGCGTTCAGCGCTGGTGAACTTACTACCGAAGAGCTTGAGCGCATCGTCACTATCATCCAAAACCCTACCCAATATAAGATCCCTACCTGGTTCCTCAATCGCCAGCGTGATATTATCGATGGAAAGGATTCGCAGATTCTTGCCAACTCCCTCGACAATAAGCTGCGTGAGGACTTAGAGAGACTCAAGAAGATTCGTGCTCACAGAGGTCTCAGACATTACTGGGGTCTCCGTGTTAGAGGACAGCACTCCAAGACTACCGGTAAGACTTTCCGTTACGCAAACAGAGCTACCAATTGTTTCTGGTACTGACGTGCTATTTATTTAGGTCGCCGTGGGCGAACTGTTGGTGTGTCGAAGAAGAAGGGTTAAACTATTTCCTTCTTCAGGGATCCTTTTTGCTTGGGATGGGATACAGTATTACTACTCTTCACCGGTGGCAGTGGTAATGTGCAGGGAATCGGAAAAAAAATAAAATGGTTTTCGTAAACTCTCTCAGCATCTCATATTTGGGAATGAAATTCCAAGCGACTGGGGTTTAGGGGTCTTCTTGCTGTACAAAGTTATTCATTTCTTCCTCTTGATTGTGCTTCTGAATTGCTCTGATTATGTGAATGAAAATGTAGCGCACACTGTAGCTGTGGTTTAAATGAAGTGATCTGTAGTCACCCGAACCACTTGTAACAATTCATGGAGTTAACAATTAATAAAGTATTCTTGGGCCCCTAACAGCCAAGCACAGGGTGCGGCACAACACTGGAAATACCGGTATCATATCCTTCTCGAAGATCAAGGAACCCTGATGTCCGATAGAAGGCCTGGTTTTGAGTCTTGGCATTCTGACGCAGACAGTCCGAGACAGAGCCCTCACCCCACGCCGCCCCACCTCTTTCTTTTCTTTGTTTCTCTCTCTCTTGCACAAACACCATTATTACCTGCTCTAGAATTTTCTCACCATGCCTATTAACCAGGTATGTATTGAACACCCGGTGATTTAGACTGCAAGAGCTGATAAGCTCGTGAAGCCTTCAAATCAGATTAAACTTACCAACGTCGCGATCGTTAGGCTGAAGAAAGGTACATTCCTGTCTTCCAAACAAGCCAGCACGCATGTTTACAAATAATGCGCCAGGCAAGAAGCGATACGAGCTAGCATGTTACAAGAACAAAGTCCTGGAATACCGTACCGGAGTGTATTGTCCCCCCTTCGCCTCGCCAGATCCTTTAACTAACAAGTCCTAGTGAGACGGATCTGGACGAAGTCCTCCAAATCCAGCAAGTCTTCACCAACGTCTCCAAAGGCGCTGTGGCACCTCATGCCGACCTCCAAAAGTCCTTCGGGCCAAAATCCACTACCGAGTCCATAATACTAGAAATACTCCAAAAGGGCGAACTTCAGGTCGGTGAAAAAGAGCGCAACGCGAAACTCGAGCAAACACACACCGAAGTGATCTCAATCGTGGCGTCCAAATGCGTTGACCCAACCTCTAAGCGCGTCTACACTCCTACCATGATTGAGAAAGCTCTTGCAGAGTTGTCTGCCAAGAAGAGGGAGGAAGGCGAGGAGGGTGCACCGAGGTGGAGTGGTGTCACGGATAAGAAGAGCTCCAAGGCTCAGGCTTTGGAGGCTATCAAGGCCTTGGTGTACCATCAGCCTATTTCTATCGCACGAGCGAGGATGAGGTTGAGAGTTGTTGCGCCAAAGAGGGTCAAGGAGAAGGTCATGGAGTTTATTGAGCAGGTTGAGGACGAAGTGTATGAGGGCGGCAATTGGGAATGCACTGCGTTCGTCGAGCCCGGAAAGTACAAGAGCATCGCGGACCTTGTTGCGTCAGAGACCAAGGGGAAGGGAAGAGTGGAGGTCATAGACACTGCGGTGAGTACCCTCTCATCAGATGAGCATTTCTAGACTTGGGAGCTAATGTGCTTCGCAGGTTGTGTCTGAGGGCGATAATAGTTAGACGGCTTGGGGGAGGGGGAGGGGTGGATCGGGGGGGTGATAAAATTGAGCTTTACATCATCACACAATTGGGGATACCGGTATGGCGGCCATGGAGTTTTGAGTTGTATCTTCTTCTATCCGGAGGCATACCAGAGCGGTGATCGCTATGGGTGCTCCTGCGTACTGCGCGTTGGTTAAGGCCATTGCATTAATTCTAGGCTCATGCGAAATAAAAGTTCCATTCACCAGCATTGTGCCGAACCCGTCGTTCAACCGTAATCCGCGTAGCAGCGCTGTGAGGGGTTGGCGCGGTCTTTATCTCCCGATGCATAAAGTTATGAAAACGTATGGTAGCATTGTCCTCTGCCGCTAAGACTCAGCGTTGATGAGTAGACACACAGGTAAATTACTGTATCGTACCATTGTCTGCCATCGATACTCTGACCTCACCCACCCCAAGACACATCCCCCGTTGAGAACATGCCCACTCTACCCTCTTTGAACAGGTTGCGAGAGGAGTGGGATGGAAACGACCCTGAGCGAGCCATAGTTATTTTAATCTTTAAAAATTGCAAAACCTCACTCTTCAGCAGCCTTTGCTCATGCGGTCGGGGGGGTTTTTTTTTTTTTTTTTTTCGTTGGACTTTTGGGTGCAAAAGTACAGTTACTGTGTGATATTTGTAAACCTATGCCTAGGGCGATAAAAAACTACGGGTGGTGACCCGGTAGGGCTCCAACATTCCAAATTGGGCACTACGATACCAGTATCATACTAGTGTTATACAAGCACATCAGAAATATTTGAACCCCGCAATAATGGGGTTTAAACGACACGGGGATTTGTACTCGTAGAAAACAAGAGTACCGGTAACCATCAATCCAGTTTCTCGAGTGACAGCACCCAAGACCTTCAGCCCTGGCCGAGTTCAACCAGACGAACAATTGGATTGTTCCCCCTCTTTAATGATATGTACGGTACTCGTACCGGTATATGAGAGGATGTGATATCATACCCGAAATGGGAGGCAAGTTACGTTACTTGTGCCTCGTGACCTCGTGCTGTCGGAACACGTACGGTACCGTATCATGGTATCGTATCGTAGCCAAAACCTTGGATCCGAGTCCGCAACCCACACTTGGGGCCCCCGAGGTCAGGGCTGAGCTTCACTTTCGTTCGTATCGCAAGGGCATCTTTCGTAGAGCGGTTCCAGCTGCTCTGGATGTGATATTTTTACGGTGCTTGTACAAGTGCCATGGGTGAAGTCTTCGCACACACCAAAGTGGCTTACCATCAAAAAAATGTTAAAAATTGGTGAGGTCACAAAGTAGTGTGTGCGAAGACTTCACCCATGGCACTTGTAGGGGCATTTTCCATTTTCCATTTTCCATTTGTAACTCTGTGGCTACTCATTTATCGCGTCTCCATACCAGTACTGCACATGCGATGGCCGTTGTATCGCGCTTCCGTCGTACTGGCACCGGTGCTGTAATATCGATGGGCTCTCCGAGATTAGGTGCAGCAGCAGGGCATCTGCCGGGTTCGGGGCGGCCAGTAAACCGCTTTAGGTCGGGGAACAATACAGCATGACCAGGTGCACGAGGTTGGTTGGGACCTGCGTTCGCGCTGGAGGTGGCTCCTCGGTCTGGCATTGTTCCCCAATTGGTTGACAGGGCCACGCCCAGCCACCGATATTCTCTCCCGCACGCAAGTTTGATCTGGCTGGTACGAGTAGAGATGGAGTGAAAGGCCGCGCGCCCCCAGTAGGCTTTTAGTAGGGTATTGCTTGGAGCGAGTCATCCCACCCTTCCAACTGCAAAACCCCTCTCTTCTCTTTCCTTCGCCTCTTCCTCTTTCCATCTCCATCCCTCTTCCTCATCTCCCTCTGTCCTTTCTTCACATTCACCCTTCGTACACAGTGAAATCGCTCGGTAAACCCATCACCTTTCGTTGATTCCGCAATCATGAGGCTTTCAGTAGCTTCTGCCATCACCTTGGCCCTGGGGGCTTCAGCCTTTGTGCCTAATCCTGAGCAGCATCCTATCGTCTCGAAACTTCCTGCCTTTCTCTCATCTGCTCTTGACCAGTTCAAAGTCGGTGATCTCTCTTCCGAGTCTATCTCTGCCTGGGCAGAGATCGCGAAGCTCTACCCTGAAGATACCGTGTCTGCCATTCAAGCCATCCAGAGCAAGTCCAAGCCCAAGGCTGGGATCAAGAGGCGACCGGATAGCCACTGGGACTACATCGTCGATGGTTCCGAGACCGTCTCAGCCCTGGGGAGCAAGGTCGATGGCCACGGTAAAATCAAGGGCAACAGGTTAAGGATCAAGAAGCCTAGTGATCTGGGAGTTGATGCTGGAACCAAACAATATTCTGGTTACTTGGATATAGAGGAAGACGACAAGCATTTCTTCTTCTGTAAGTTTTCCTTTGAACGCGGTATCATTGCTTGTTTGTCGCGATATTAACATCTCTCGCCAGGGTTCTTTGAATCGCGAAATGACCCCAAGAACGACCCTGTTGTCCTTTGGCTCAACGGTGGTCCGGGGTGCTCTTCTTTGACTGGTCTCTTCATGGAGCTTGGTCCTGCTTCCATTAATGCTAAGATACAAACCGTTGATAACCCATACTCGTGGAACTCCAACGCTTCGGTCATTTTCCTTGACCAGCCCGTCAATGTCGGGTACTCGTACTCTTCGAGCTCTGTTTCAAGCACCCACGCTGCGGGAAAGGACGTTTATGCGTTCTTGACCATGTTCTTTGATAAATTCCCGGAATATGCTAAGCAGGACTTCCATATCGCTGGTGAATCTTATGCTGGGTGAGTTGTCGGGTTTCCCAGTTTTTGATTGGATTTCGCGTTAACTCTTTGCAAGACACTATATTCCTCAATTCGCCGCCGAGATTCTCTCTCATAAGAAGCGCAACATCAACCTTCAGTCTGTTCTCATTGGCAACGGTCTTACCGATGGTCTCACCCAATACAAGTACTACCGCCCCATGGCTTGTGGTGAAGGTGGGTACCCATCTGCCTTGAGCGACTCTGAGTGCAAGAATATGGACAATGCCTACCCTCGTTGTGCCGGTATGATCCAAAACTGCTATACCTCCAAGTCTGTGTGGTCTTGTGTCCCTGCATCCATCTACTGCAACAATGCTATGATCGGCCCTTATCAGCGCACCGGATTGAATGTCTATGACATTCGCGGGAAGTGTGAAGATTCTGACAACCTTTGCTACTCTGAAATGGGCTGGATCTCTAAGTAAGTTTGCTTGACACTTGACACTGGGATTTTTTGCCAACGAATCAAATCAGGTATCTCAACGAGAAGGATGTTATATCGTCTCTCGGGGCCGAGGTTTCTTCTTATGAGTCTTGCAACTTTGACATCAATCGCAACTTCCTCCTCAATGGAGACTGGATGTTGCCATTCCACAAATTTGTCGTCGAACTCCTCAAGGAGATCCCTGTCTTGATCTATGCCGGTGACGCTGATTACATTTGCAACTGGCTCGGAAACCGTGCCTGGACTGAAGCTCTCAAGTGGCCCGGAAAGAAGGCCTTCAACAAGGCCAAGGTTGAGGGCTTTATGGTCAACAATAAGGAGGCTGGAAAGTTCAAAACTTCTGGAAACTTTACCTTCATGCAGATCTATCAGGCCGGTCACATGGTTCCATACAACCAGCCCGACCCGAGCTTGCAGATGTTGAACAGATGGTTGAGTGGTAACTACTGGGCTTAAGTGATGTCTTTTTGTCTTGTGTACTGTAGCCGGTCAACTTGTTGGGCATGATGTTCTCTTTCTTTCTTTTTGTAATGGGTTAAACTCATGGCTCTGCAATATTTTCGGACCGGATGAATTGGCATGGGAGTGATACATATAATATTACGGAGGGTTTGATTTTTTTCTGCTCTTTCTCTTTCTTTGCTTCGTCGCGGTGTTTCTGACGTATTGACTTTTAACAATGGAAGGTGTTTTATTCTTCAATGCATGAGAATGAGGGTTATTGAAATGAATGACTATCCAACGGCTTTCACAGGGAACCTTACTCCTATCACCTGGCAGTATCGCACTGTACTGTACCTACACTATCTGTATCAGGTGAATCAATTCGGTGGATTTTTTAATGCAAGAATGAATTTCCGAGCTATCTAAGAGTCACCTAAAGTATATAGCAGAATGTGGACCGAGTGCCGTAGTGTATAAGTTTATGCCATCAATCATCATCCAGCTACCGTGAACTGCCGTCAACGCCTCTATCATAGAAAACAGATAAACTTTTGAACAAGATAGAAAAGATAGGAAGGCAGAAACCCCGATACATAAGGGCGAGACATGAATGGAGCACAAGGGGGAGTAAAGTTAAAACATATTAACGAACTGGTAAATTGGTAAATCGATAAAAGAAAAGCAATAAAAGAAGGAAATAGGAGACGAATGAATAGCTAGCGGGAGCAAACGTCATACCCCACTGCCTCTATAGGCACCGGATCGTGTAATCAGTGTGATGTATATGTCCTAACCCTACGCTTTAATAGCAACCCAGAACACGCCCTCATATTCATGCCTTAGCATGCTCTTCTCATCGTCCACGTACCCGGTCTTGGCCCCCGTGATCACCTTCTCTAGCTTAAACCCGCACATCTGGACTAGTGCAAGGACTTCATCGAGGCACAGCTCGAACTTTCCCGCAGCTCCCACGTCCTCATCTTCCCCGCTATCCCTCCTCTTCCGTTGTTGCTGCTCCTGGGCATGCTCTTCAAAGTGCCAGAGCAGCGGTCCAAAGTTCACCCAGATCCCGTCGTCGACAAGCAAGTGCTTGATGGTCTCAAGGTAGGAGATTAAGTTCGGTGCTGTGTCGATGAAGAATACGGTGGCGCAGACGTCAAATTTTTGCGAGGGGGGGAGGTCTTTGTAGGATTGGCGGAAGTCGCCCGCTGTCATGCTGAATCTGTCGGTACCCGTGAGCTCGAGAAGGGTTTCGGGATGGACGTCTGGGATTTGGATGCCGCGGAGGTGGTCGGGGCGGGTGGAATGATTGCTGAAGATTGAGATGAAGGGGTGGAGGGTGTGTTGATATGCGGTGGTGGTGTGATTTAGGATGTAGTTGCTGGCCATCAGTTGGTGGTAGGAGAATTCATTTCCTTGGGAGGTGTAGCCTGGATTTGGATGTTAGTTGAGACGAGATGAGCGAGGAATAGAGGGGAGTATCGCAGTGGAGAATGCACCTGCGACAGCGATATCGAAGGCAAGCCTGCCCAGGCCGGCTCCCGGGACGAGGACTCTAATAGCCGACCTGCGATCAAACCATTAGCTATCAATCTCCCTAGTATAGGTAGCTGAAGAGCCATACTTGTCCTCGACCATTCCAAATCTCTCCTCCAACTCCTTCATGACCCCGCCGTAGCAAATCTCCCTCTCTGCCTTCCCTTCATCACTCCAATCGCGATAAAATTGCTTAACCGTGCTCCGCACCTTGTCCAGATCCCCATCACTCGCACTGCTCTCCCAGACCCTAAACCCACCGCCAGTAGTCCCGAGATCGACCCCGAATGCATCCACGGCAGAGCGGAATATGGCCTCGCTAAGAACTGCATTGTCTTCGATTGCGCGGTCGACGATATCCAGGGTACGGAGGTAATTGATGGGTGGTTGCTTGAGGAGTGCTTGATGTGTGGAGGAGAGGGCGAAGAAGGAGATTCGGCGACAGTGGGTTAAGTTTTGGTGGGCGGCGCGGCGGTAGAGGCTGTTTTCCGGACAATTAATTGGGAATGGATAGGAAGAGGGGGGAAGAGGGAAGGGGGCATACTGGAATGAAGAAAGAGCAGAAGTGAGTGCTTTAAGCTCCTCCGCATCACCGTGTGAATCGAATTCAGGATCCGGGTCAACGTGATTTGTGGACATGGTTGGGGGTTTTATTAAAGGGATAATTAGTCTCTTAATATTATGATATAATATTTTATTCTATTCTCCTTTCCCTTTTTCCCTTCCACCCGGGGCTGTGGCTTTGTTGGGGTGGTTGAGGGTTGTTGTTTCCGACCTGAAGGAAGGGAAAGGATGGGGGAGAGAGAGGGTGTGAGAGGGCGTGTCACGTTGGTGGGGCAGAACTGGTGGGGTCGAATCAGCACAGAGCCTCTACGCGTCTTGGCAGGGTTCAAGCAACGAAGGGTAAGTTAAGGTGTGGCAACGGACCGCCTTTAGAGCCATTGGAAGCGGATAGCTAGTGCCAGTATAGAGCTCTTTGAGGTGGATCGTATTGGCCTTCTAATTCGGGTATCGAGAGGAGGGTTGGATGTACTATGGGTGCCCTGTGATGCAGTTAAAGTTTACCTTGCCGTTGGCATCGGGTGCGTGCTTGCGGATACTGGAGGTGTTGATTCGCTGCTGCGAAATCCGGCAAAGGATGAAGATTTAGCTCACGGGCTCTCTCATAGAGGTTGCTGTTTTGTGAGAGATTTTGCCCGGGCACTGTAGGCTACAATTTTAGAGCGATCTATGGCAGTCGAGAGCTGTACAAGTACAATATTCGGACACTTGTAACCGGACAGCTGGTTGTATGATATTCCTAATGCTTAGCCTCAAGCATTGACATCTCAGGATATGGCACTTAACTTGTCTATATTATGGCGCACAATGTCCTATCATAACATAAAAAAGAGAAAGTATGATAATTCCTTCCCCTACAGGTAATTACGGTTCAAGAAAAGCATTAACTCCCCGGCCCAATAGCTACACCCTCGGCTATCAAATATACTAACCCTGCAAAGACCGGTTCTCACGTATCCAGTGTCGTCAATTGCATTGCTATATTCATATCCATACTTGCAGCGACGTCCGATACAGGAGCCCTTCAGATCAAGAATGATAACTGAGAAGCGCCGGGAAAACAGATCCTTCGAAAAACTCCGATTCTGTAAGAGGCATCTAGATGGAGAGGCCTTCATACAGCCACTAGACAAAAGTCTCGATTAAATAGGGCCCTCTAACGGGCCCAATGCGTCCTACACAGCGCCGTAATCCCCGGCAAAGCGAAATTTGGTTTCTCCACGACTTTTTGTCTCGGGTGACTGCCAGTATATGACTAGGAGAGAGCCCGCCCATGTACGCAATTGTTCTGTGGAGTTTCCGTTGCGAGAGGACAGCTTTCCCTTCGCACCTCCTGGAATATGAACACGAACTCTATTTTTAGAGACTGGTGAATCGAGAGATGGTTGGGTATCTTAGCTTTGCAGTGCTGATGTACAGTACTCGAGCAGCCTCTCCACCGTTATGCATACTTAGTGAGTTAGGTGCTGTTAATGGAGCTGAGCTGTCATAGAAGCTCTGATTGGCGATTGCGCTCTAGTAATGGTGTTGGCCCCAATATTGATCTTTGGTGCCAAGGGGCTAATGAGTGAATTGAACCAAAATCGAGCTTGATAGGAAAACTCACGGGAGATCACTCGGACGCAAAACTTGCTGCCTGAAAACCTCCCCTTCCAATCTCGCAACGTGCGGATAATACTCGGAGGGGTTGCCCATATATTTTGGTCTGTTGGTACGGCAACTACTGCCTTAGCCAGGATCTCGAGGCAGAAGACTGTGGAAATAATCGTACTATTCTGTGAACTTAGCACTCCGTATCTCTGAACGCCGTAACCCATGATAGTAAAATTTAACTTACCAATCCCACAAACTCCGCGAATGGCTCTAGAATGCCCCTCCAACCACTCACCCAATGGTCAAAAGCCCTCACTCAAACCGGCCGGCAAACATCCGCTCCACGAGGCCCACAAAAATACTCTCTCCACTAGAGGATAATTTGCCTTCATATGCTCCCACCAACCTGTATAAATCAGCCCGGGCACTCAACCACCATCCGCCCAACGCCTCTCTTTAGAACTTCCCTTTTCCCTCTAGGGACACTCCCCCTCCACCCCAAGCAAAATGTGTTTCTGCAACGTCTACACCCTGACCGCCTGTCCAAGACTCCACAAGATAAAGTGCTACTACCGTCTCTGCTCCATGCACATGCACCTCCTACCACCATTCTCTCAGCCCCCCTCACCTTCTCCCTCCCCGTGCAAGCTCCGCACAACACCCTCTTACGAACATTTAGCTGAAGCGCTAAACCCCGTCGGCACACCCCCAAGAGTCCCAGGATTCCCCACCTCAGAGGAGAAAGTGGCCTACCTACATTGCATAGAGACCATAGTCCCGTACCCGTCCCCACCGCAGGAAGTCCGGCTGGCGAAAGCCGGCTGCGGCCTGAGCGGGTGTAGGAAGCCGGACACGGTGGGGGGCATGGGGGAGGCGTGGAATGGCAAGACTGAAGACGGGGAGGCGAGGTTTGGGTGCCCGGTCTGTAAGGCGGAGGAGGTGAAGGCCGAGGGGGAGTTTTGGGTGGAGATTGCGGCAGGCGTGGGGTTACCGGGGGATGACTATGTGAAAATGGGGGAGGGGGAGGGGTCTGCTAGCGCTCGGGCGGCGGCGGGAGGGGGGTCGCAGGCCCCACCACCACCGCTTGTGTACACCCCATCTCCGGCGGAGTTTGCGAGGAGGAATAGACCGGGTCCACCTTGCCTGCCGACTATGGTGATACCGAAGGTGTCCGCGCCAGAGAGTATGAGCTCTAGGTCCATGATGGGAAGAAGTAGGCACACGACTCTTGCCTCACCAACTCCACCTCTACCTGAAGACTCTACGTGAGTACCGGTAGTTAAATTTAAGGTAAGAAGGTAGAATTGGGAAGAGAGGAGAAAAAATCCAAAAAAATTCTAGCATTAAATATTACGCATCGGGGTCTCTTGAGTTGGTTCGGGAGCCTGGGTGCCACTGGTCCCCAGGCAAACTCGACACGAGTTTTCGCTAACCAGACCAGCCAGACCATTCAGAAACCTGGTTGCTCTCTTCCCCCTCCCTTGTTTTTGCTTGCACCTACTCGAGTACATTTTGTCGCCTTTGGTATGATAGTCAATCGAACAACTTATTCTCCGCGCAAATACCGCTTTGGAAAAAGAAAGCAATTGAAAGCACAATCCAAGTTAATGATCATCCTTCTCCATCCCGGTTTCTTAAAATATCATAATTGCTACGATGGGGGCTGCATCGCCCTCAATTACCGGTGAGTTAGGGCTAATTTGATACCGGTTTAATGTGCGGGCGGCGTGGTGGGGGGAAAGAGGGTGGGGTGGCGTTGGTGAAGCTGTGGGGTAGCTAGTGCGGGTAGGCTAGTCTAATGGTAAATTGGTATCGCTGGGATATCACTGGATGACCGCGGCGAGCTCTAATGTGGGGTAGACTGCTCTAAGATTCAGTGAGTTGACTTTGCCAGAGAGAGAGTTCCTTATCAAATAGACTACACTATTAAGTTATTTAATCGGTTGGGGTTGTGCAACATTCATACCTGTACCTATGGTCCAGCATCGTCTCTACGGTATGTCTGGGATCGCACGAGAGGCTGGCTGCTTCAACTCCCGCAGAGCTCCTGCTTCTACAGCTTGACATTAGTGATAGTTGAGAAGGGATCTATGGCAAAATTTGTTCAAGTTTTTGGAATTTCGATTGAGAAACCGATATACTGTGGATTAACTATTCAAAGTTATCGGCTCCCCTCAAGAAACTCCGAGAAGAAAAAATGTTCCTAGAATAAAGTACGATACAAGTAAAGTATCATACAGGTGAAGGTATGGAATGTGAATAGGAGCAAACCCTGGAAAGGATAATGAGGAAAAACCCTAGCATTGCTCAAAAAAGAGGAAAGGAAGTTGAAAGTACCGGCGCAGAGAGCAGTAAAACTCGTACATCAGCGGAAATCAAACGAAGAGGACCTTCGCCGGGCGGGCCTGGGAAATCTACCTTGGAGGGAGGACCTGAAATACAATCCACCTAGCAGCCGATTTCGGCCCAGTCTAGAGTTCTGAGGTTGCTGCATTCTCTTTGGGCCACTCAACGTGACAATGGTTGGTCTTATGGTTATCTTGCGGTTTGAGGTTTCTATCAACCAATCCCTATTAGTCCCCACTGCCTTCAGGAAAGTGCCTAACACCACGAGAAGTACTTACGACCCACGGGGCGGCGCATTCTTGCAGCATCGCCTTCCACACGCTCTGGTGACCGAAACCTCGTCTGCTTGAGTGTCGGCCATACACTGGGCGACGTCGTCATGGACGTATCCGCATACCAGAGTGTTCTCTTCAGTCTGGCAGCCGCAAGAAAATGTGATGTTCCTGTAGTGGCACATTCTAGGTTTCTTTGCAGTGGTGTGGTGGTAGGTGAAGTGGTGCGAGTGATTTTGATATGAGGGCAGAAACGGTGCCCAGAAGGTTCGCCTTCGTGTGGGTATTTGAAAAGCGAGAAAATATTAAACTGTACTGACGATCCACGGAGGGAGAGCGAAGAAGTTCTTATAGTAAAGAGGAACTTTTAGCATTTTCTTTCGTATTCTAGAGCCCAACTAAAAAGTGTGTCCTGTGTTAGACGGGATGTGCATGCGGCACACCTCCTTGACCGCAACTCTTTTTGATCTTCACCAGCCCTCCAAGTTTCGAATACCCCACTTTTTGCGTGCAGGGTGGAGCTGTCCCTGCAAATCGACCGGGGGCCCGACATTTTTGTCGAAAAAGCGTCCGCAAGTAGACCCATGTGCTGCGGATTATTGCTCTTCTGGCGAACCTCGGTCCTCAAACGTTAAGTCCATGCCGCAGTGTCGTCAAGCAACCTACGAGCATAGATATTAGCCCGCAGGTCCAGACCGATTAAATCTCCTCGCCTACCCTTGAGGCCCTGACAATTGTTAGCCTCTGAGGGTCGCAAGAGCATTTTCCGATCGTACTAGTTGATTATGTACTCGAGTACTCGAGTACGGTGGCTTCAACCTCTTTTTCATATGTTCTAGAGTAGTCTTCACTAAACTTCCTTTCTCGGGGTGATCGCCAGGGCCTTTCTAAAAAGCAATCATTCGTGTGTTTTACGCCGGAATTCAAGAGCCATGATTTGTAGGAGGTGGCCATTTTCAGTCCGGGTGGCCTCGAGATCGTCGGTCGGCCTTGTGTTTTTAATATGCGAAATGACGCCATAGCGCTTCAGGTATGGCACACTTTGTTCCTAAAGAACTCCATGTTAAGAATCTGGGGTACGGTACTTTGGTCCAAGCTACTATATGTACTAGAGTACTTGTACTCGCACAGTAAACAAATGCTTCTCTAGTCTTTTCAGGGTGGGTCTTTTTTATTTCAGAAATAATTGCAAGTGCGGCTGTATGAAGCGGATTTAGATTAGAACTTGTACGGCGTAACGCCCTGGCAGGATACCGTTCAACACCAGGTTTTATTTAATCCGTGCTGTGAGTGATAAGTGTCCGTACAACGATCAATAGAAAAGGTTTCCCAGCTCCATCAGGGCCCGGCCCCAGATCAAGATCTTCTACAGTACTCGCAATGTCGTGACGTTTGTGAACACGACCGGGCTTGCATTAGTGTATCTAGGCATGCATTAGTGCAATCTAGATTAGTCAAAGTAGAAAGTGTTTCATACTGTAAATAAACACAGAGGAGCCTGAGCACGAAACATATTATCTATTTGAGAATTGCAAGATACTGGAGCTGTAAGTAATCTTACAAAAAAAAAAAGATAAGTATATAGAAGGTTTACTTGGAAGGAAAAGAAGTGAAAACAAGTGAAAATAAACTAGAAATTGAAGTTGTTTCCTCCTTCATCCGCAATACAGGCTTCAATCTGTTCAGACATGGAATTTATATGATGATTTATTCGATCGCGGGGATAGTTTTTCCACTCCTGTATATTATATGTAAATTAGTTAAAGTAAATATTAAAACAGCAAATACTTTTTTGTAAAAGGCCCACATACCTGTTCAAGAATGGTGCAGATTTCTCATGCAGTCATATGGGGACCAATAAGCTCATGGAGCTTATCTTTCAACTCACTCCAAATGGTCTCGATGGGATTCAGGTCTGGAGAGTTTACAGGCCAAATAAGCTTATTATAGCCCAATTGCTCCTGTGGGATATTATGATAATGGTGGATATGTACGGGGGCATTATCCTCTATTATAATAATATCCCGATCTGGAAATTCAAGTTTAGACTGCATAGTGAATGGGTAAAGTAGAGGTATCAAAATCCGTTCACGATAGATAAACCAATCTATTCCTCCCTGCCGATCCTTTTTACAAACTTTCAATTGAGTTTCTGGGAATGGAATTTCCAAACCAATTGACCTACATCTAGCATTTTCTGCTAGCTCATACTCATATTCTCTCTGAAGTATATGTAAAGCTTCTGTTTGTTGTTTTGCATTTTCATATGGTGAAGTGTACATATAATAAGGCAAATTATTTCCTAATATAAAATATATTTAATCAGTTTTAATGTACAGTAAAAGGATAATAATAAGAATAAAATAATAAACAAATATATATATAATACCATCTTTATCGTACAAAATAGCACCCCAAAACATAACTGTTGCACCTTGTGCGAACTTTTTCTGAATGTTTTGGGGCCGGTAAGCTTCACCGGCACAGTGGAGAACCCCATGAGTATGACGAGATCAGAGACTACCAGTCTCAAAATATGATTCATCTGTAAATATCGTACCATGCCAATCATGATAGCGATACTGATAGCAAAAGGCAAGTCTGGCAGCCTTTTGGGCTGGGTTTAAACTTAGTTTTGTTGTCGGCTTTTGGTGATAAATTTTATTTTCTTTTAATACTTTCGATACAGTTTGTCTGCTAATATCTAGACCCGCTGACAAAATTAATTTATTAATCAGTTATATGTATATAAGTATTTCAAAAAAAAAAAAAAAAGAGTCTTTACCAGCATCAGCAAGCTGAGCAAAAGTCATTCGGCAATGCTCTGCATCCTTTAATGTAGTTTCCACTAGATGTTCCTTCTCTCTTCCGGTCAGAGTTTCATTTGTACCCTTTAATGAGGTTGGTAATGCAGAGAGGTTTTCAGGTGCACAGAGGTCTGTTATTCTGTTTTCGCTTACTCACTGTTTTCCTGTTTTAATAATATTTGAACACGTGCTCACTAAAACACTAGTTCTTTCTGAGATCTACCTTATCGTCATCTTCTAAGGCACGTCCAACATGGCATAACCTATAATTTGACCTCTCTTGCTGAGGGAAGTTGTCGGCCTTCTCAGAGTTGACATTTTGGTGATTTGATTTCAAGAAGTCACAGGTTTGCTCCACTCTGAATTACAGTGAACATTATTTGTACTTTTGTACTGATTTATATCAGGTTTTACAACTTGTCCACTTCTGATTGATTACCCCTGAAATGCCCCTAACATACACTAATGCAAGTCCTAATGCAAGCCCAGTTGTGTTCACAAATGTCACGACATTGCGAGTACTACAGAGGTACAGCCAGTAAGTTTTGTACATTCCACTAGCAGGGGGGTTGCATTAGCGCAGGTGGTGGGAGCAAATCTGGTATAGTACAAGGAGTAAGGTGAACATGAAAATGTGAAAATTTTTAAAAATCCAACATCATGATCGTGATACTAGTACAGTGATTGCAACATGGTGATTCCAACTCAGGGAGTACCTTGAAATTGACAAAGAACCTAAAGCGATACCGGTTCTGAAATGGAATATCCTAGGACTTCAAGTTTTCATCTAATGTGGAAGCAGAGACGGGACTATCAACTTTCATGCTCAGTTGGATGGCGCTACGCCCAAATTCAAGATAGAACTGGTCATACTTGTTGTCAAATCCAATATACATGTACCTTACTAGCTAATCCAACAAAGAGACCAGAACACTCTCCGTTAAAACTAATGCAGGATGGGGCACCAGGTTATGCAGTAGCTGATACAGGTACTGAACTTTGGGAAAGAGGAATTCATGTCATTTACTGGCCTCTATTCTCACCAGACTTGAATCCAATTGAACGAGTATGACATGTTATGAAAAATTATTTGCAAGATAATTTTCCTGAAAACATGACATATGATTGATTATGGAATGCGGTAAATAAATCATGGGATACTATTGCATCATTCGGATTTAAGAAACTGATTGAATCCATGCCAGCAAGGTGTTAAGCTGTAATTGATGCCAATAGCCAATTTACAAAATATTAAAATCTTATATGGCAATTCTTTACTATCTTCTGCAAAGTCTAAGACCATCCCTTCATACAGATCCTAGCAGCCTATGAGTCCCCATTCCCAGCTGCCTTCTACAGCCCCACCTACTCCTAGCAGTCTCCCACAGTCCCCAGCAATTCCCCGCGGTCTCCTACAGTTTCCCACAGTTTCCCACAGTTTTCCTCAATCCTCCACAGTTCTCCTTAGTTCTCTGCAGTCCCCCACAGTCTCCCTCAGTTCTCCCCAGTTCTCCCCAGTTCCCGGCAGTCTCCGGTAGTTTCCCAGTCTCCTGTAGTCTCCGCCCATCACTAGCAGTTCTCTACAGTTCCACTCAGTCCTCTGCAGTCTCTAGCAGTCCTCCACAGTCCCCCACAGTCCCTCATCATCTGTGGTCCTCCACCATCCCTCTTATTGAATGGTGGATTGTGGAAACCCGTTGCCAATTAGGCAAAGAACATGAGATTGTGTGAGGAGGAAACAGTAGTGCCTCAGATGACAGTGAGCAAAGGTATACCTGGTTGCAGGGCCATTGCGTGGTCATAGCTTCCGCAAATGGGGTCCAAGAACTCTCATCTCATATAGCAACCTTGAGCTCCCCTTCACTTGAAGATAATCACACTTCCTACAGCTCACATTCTACAGCTCATGTTCTTGATTGCCCACCTGCTTCTCATACCAGGCCCCAACATGCCCTCATTGCCATATTAGAACATATCGGTGGTAACAATTTCCCAGGCAATGGTAGCAACAACTTCACCAATGCCTCTATTGGTGGAACCAGAAAGCAGGTTTTGAGAAGGAAGGTTGATTGTTAGATTTCTTTCGGTGTTCTCATTTAGCCCTCTTTTTGTTTTCTATCTCTCATACTTCTTTTGTTATATTCTATACTGTCCATATCTTTGGAAAATTGGTACTGTTTTATTTGTTAGAAGAAAGAAAAGATCATGAGAGCAGGAAAGCAGGAGGAAACATTTCTACTTGCTTAAAGTTTGTACAGGTGCTCTGGTGATCTGAGTTATAATGGTCAAAACTTAGTTTGATTCCAAGCCAAGACTGGTCACAAGGTACCATACCTAATTCACTGTCCTTACTCCCAGTAGTACAACCTCCCCTGCTATTAAAATGTACAAAACTTACCAGCTGTACCTCCATAGGTCAAATTGATTCGTCCAATCGGTGGTAAATAAACAACACCTCAAAATTCCCATCCTACTAATCAACCACCCCTTAACAATAATGTCTTCTGAAAAGATCGGCCATCTCTCAGACCTTGAAAAAGG